TAATTCTTTTTACGATGTTCTTAACAAAGTTAAAATAAACTTAAACTATTAAGATCCCACAAAAGATGAACAAAAGTTATTAACATTAAATAATAAAGTCCTGTAAAAATTTGTGACAAACCTAAATTTTTCTATTTCTAACTTATTAACAATAGCCACCTACATCTATTTATAATATTTTGGAAAACTTCTAATAAGGAGTGTTTTTATAAATTATCAGACGTGATGCAGATATTGATTAAAAGTATTATATATGTTGAACAAGACCCTCGTTCACATTTAACTTTCCAGCGTATTTGTTTCCATACAATACGTGGTAAAGCTAAAATACGGGACTCGTGAGAACTAAGTGAACAATTGAAATATGCAATGTTACTATTGTCTTAAATTTATATTACCGCACAAATGTGCTTTGAAATATGTTTGTAACTCAGAATTGTGCTATGTTTAGCGGAATTTTATTGCATCATTAATAATATGCACCAATCGACAAAGGTATACATAAAAAGTCTCAATAAAATGCTTATACGTACATGGTGCGTAATTCTACTTATATGAATATATGTAATTTTGTTTAATATCATTTATTCTCACCTGTTATGAGAAATAATTTAAAAAATATGGATAATAATATTTAAAAGTAATTCATAAAACAAGCTCTCATCAATCTATTTCAACTGTTCAATAAAGTATAAAATACTCGCTTGAGCAGTGCTCTGAGATTTCCGAGTTCCTGAGTTTCTTCTTGAGTTCAACGTTAAAAATTTGGTTTTATATATACAAAAAATTTAAAATGGTTTTTCTATTTGTTTTTCCTGAATAAATAATATGATTGCCAAAAATGGCAATTTCGTTCTTAAAATACACTATCTCATGGACAAAATAAAAACTAGTGGGACGCATGGCATTGTGCCTTAAGGTAAATTGCTGGAACTTCCCGTACCAAAAATTATTATTTTTTTAAAAACGATTAACATTTTTGAAAAAATTAAATTTTTGAGAAACTATAAATTTGACAAAAAATTACTTTTTTTTGAAAAAAAAAATTTTGTTTTGAAATAAAAATGTTTTCTTTATTTTGACATATTTTGGGAATTCTGAACTTTTTAACGAAGCAATCGTAATGCTTCAACTGCATAGAGACTAAATATAAAGCGCCGAGGCGTAGTGTGCATTGGCGGGGCCCCGTATCAAAATTTTTTGGGGGCCCCCTCAGGTATGGCAAAATTTTCTCACATAAAATAATAAATAAATAAATTAATAAATCTTCACTTATCATCAAAATTCATCTAGCCCTTTCTAATATTTCTACAAACAATTCAAATTCAGCATACACATTTATTAAATCATCTATAGCTTATGATGTCTATAGTTTTTGATATAGTTTCTTGATAAAACGAATTTTGATGAAACGAATTTCCATGATCATAGACCTCATTTTTTTTTCAAGATATTTTTGAAAATTTCATCATTTGCAGTTGCAACTGGGTAAATAGTATGCAAAAATTACTTTGAGAAAATTGTATGCAAAACTATCGAATTTTGTCAGCAATAGAAATTGAATTTCATATTTTAAACATATTTTTAGAGTGTTTACAATTACAATTACATTAAAATTTAAAACAGATTTTATCTTACTGCACTATAGTGGTTTGCGAAATGACCCCATGCGAAGTGGTTGTAATTTTTCGAACATAATAATCGAGTCGAAGTCTCTGAAATCTATGTTTAGTATGAGAAATTAATATATTTAATTACCAAAATGTTGAGTTTGAAATAAGATTACGGGTCGCTATGCTTTGTATATAGTTTTCGTTACGTTCCATTCCTTTGTTAATTTTTCGAGACATTTAGCAAATTGCTAAATTAATTTTGATTTTTTAATTTGCACAATCTATTCAAGAAATCACTTAATAAAATGCCAGTTTTCTATTCTATTACAACCCTCTAAAATTATATTTTTATATTCTACATGCTCATGTATTTTTTTTTTTCAAATTAAATTTAGTTGGAAGTAAGTTTGCATGATAATTTTAACTTTTGCTATTTGTGAAATTAAATAAAAACTTGTAAGTTTCTACTAAATTTTACGCATGATTGGAGCCCACATGGCCCGGTAAAAATAAAACGCTTTAAAATATTAAATTTACATTCCTCGCGTTCATTTTTAATGACATTAAATTTCATTGAACAAAGTTTTCAGGATTAATTCGCTTTTTGTAAAGTTTTTTTTATTAATAATATTTGCTTACGGACGCTGGGGCCCCCCCTGGCACAGGGGCCCCGTATTTTTGATACGGCTGATACGGCGGTAGTTACGCCCCTGATAAAGCGCGTAAGCGCCGCGTCGCCGTCTAACGGATAAATATTAGTACGGAGCCCATAGGAATGTAAACAAAATTTATACTTATTGTTAAAATCTCTATAAAATATCTGATAATTTGATGTGCATATGTCTAATGATCATTTTTTACCGCCAAATGGCATTTTTTTAAACTTTTTTTATTAGATCTCTGAAACCGCTAGACCTGCCTTCATGAAAATGTGATCAATTCGTTATCTTGTCAATACTGAATTATTGAAGTCGGACGTTCCGTTCTCTTAAAAATTGAGTTACCATTTTTGGCACTTTTTGCCCCGTATCTTCGGAACGGCTTGACCTGCCTTCGCCAAAAACTAATCAGCGCGTCTCCTTATCGATACGAATTAATCAAATCGGTTGATCGGTGTTCCCGAAATCGTCGACTAAAATTTGTATCCGCACACACACACACGCACACACACACATACACACACACATACATTCATTTTTTCTAAGGTATGCCAAAATATTCAGAAACCTTTGAAACGTAAAGATATATAAAAATTTTCATTTTCCATTTTTTTGCGATTACTATAACTTACCCTACGGGAAGTTAATTAATTAATTTTTTGGAGAGGCAGGTCTAGCGGTTTCAGTGAAATTTTTAGCTGTACCTCGTACTATAACTGTACTCTGTATAGATTGCTACAACAAATAAACAAAAATCTTTTTTGCATATAATAAAAATCTGTGTTATTTGATTTTGGACTTAAACTGTAATCAGCAATGAATCACAAAACGTATTTGTTCGGCATTGATCCTGATTAATCATACGGCGCAATTCCAAACATTGACGACTTATAAAATTTAAGTAAATTATTGATTATATTGGGTAAGTTATTGTAATTGTCCAAAAATCGAAATTTAAAATTTTTGTATACCATGCATGCATGGATACATTTTCTCGTCCGCGTTTTCGGGCGCACGAATCAACCGATTTTAATGGTTCAAAAAACACTAGATTTATATTGGTAAGAAGATATGCTGATTAGTTTATATCAAAGGCAGGCCCAGCAGTTTTGAGATAAGGAGAAGAGTGCAGAAATTAGAAATCGAGTTTTTGAGAGAACCGAGCATCTGATTTGAATGATCCAAAAATATTCCTGGTGGGGAGAAGTATTTTTTTTAATTTACAAAAAATATTTTTTTCAATACTCAAGCTCCTATATTTTGTCCTAATAGTAATAATGACAGTATTTATAATAATGTATTTGAGATCATTTAATACTCCTCAAACATTTCATTACGGTTAATGAAAATCGAAATTATTATCATTATATCTCATAAAGGCTAAAAGATACGTATAAAAGCATAAACATAAAAATCAAAGGGATCTTTCTGGCTAATTATTGTTTTTTATTATTTTTCTTCAACACAAAAATTGACAGAGTTATGAATTATAAGTTTGCGGCCGCGCAAACTGGAAGAAAAAGTTTTTAAAAAACCGTGAGTTTGTACTAAAGTAGTGAATCTGCTAGAATCCATCAAGATGTCTATAATGAAGTGAATTCTAGATGGAATGTGAATTACTTTAATTCTGGTGGAAATGGCGCTCATTAAACCATATGATTTAAAAGAAAAAAACTTCGTATATGCTTCTTATTTGCATGATAGCTCACTCATTTTACACGCAAAAAACTTGTAACAGCACTCATTTTAAAGCTATGTTGAACACTATAAAAGCCAATTTCACTGAAATGCATAAAATGTAAAACCTCGACATTTGATGGCTTACAACAATTAAATCTTGAACGAAATAAAAAACGACTTTGCTCTTTCAAATATAAAATAACTATAAAATCAAATAAATAACTATAAAAGACATTTTTTTCTTATAATTAGTTCTTCTATCGGTTTCCGACGTTGTTTTGAAAAATTGTTTTCACATTTGAACTTGAGGGTAAGATGAACCTAATTACAAAATTTCATTCAATTCGGAGCACAGTAAAAAAATTCAGACCTAAAACGCTCCGTTTACTGCACTAAAAATGATTTGAATTTTAAATAAATTGGCGTCTGGCACATATTTAGCAGCGCTGAAAATGTCTGGCTACAAAAATGTGAGTCAAGTGAACCTATTCGAAGTCAAAAAAATGAATATTGGACTGTCTAAAATGCTTTCAAAAGTTGATTTCAGTTGGCAGCGCACTAATAAACGCAACCACTACCAGCTGCCAGACGACCCGTACTCTAACCAAGAGAGCACCAAGGACCACATACCAAAAAACCAGCCTGCCTAAAATTCTTACTCGAAAACGTTGCTACCTCCCGGACCATAAGTAAGTAAATCAGTAATAATGTAACATTCAAACAAGTAACAAGTCTTAACTCAACATTCAAATATATAACTATTTAACAATCTCTAACAACGTATTAATTTATCTAAATGTACAACAATTTAAACTATTTAACGTGTTTTGACAGATCTTGTTAGATCATGATCTCTTTCACTCAAGTTATGAACTGAACGATTCAAAACATAGTAGAATCAAACAAACTGGATCTAATCCGTGTAAATATGGTTTTATATAAACGGAATGTAATCAATTCTTAACAGTGTTCATATAGTATTACATTTTCAAATTTTTCAAGCGGTAATCATCGTCAAATAGTTTTGAAATGAGCGAAGAAAATGTACCTGTATCATCTGTGCAGTAGCTGAACTCGCCACTTTGAACTTAGTCAGTTCAAAGATCTCATGATGGATAGATATAGAGGCCTCACTGCACGAAAACTCAGATCTCGTCTGTGATTCTGCATTATTATTCTGGGCATCTACCATATCTACGTATGAATACGAAAACAAAAGAAAGCAGAAACTTTATTGTAAATAAACGAAATCTGCCTTGATAGCCCACTGTGGTCAAAGTCACAAAACTGTATCATAAAAAACAATAACAAACTGGAAATTTTAGCACTTACGGGACGGCACCGATTTCAAAACAATCTACTGTACCAGCTGTAAACTTGATTTCATTGTGTATGTTATGCAATTTGTTTGATAAAAATGTGTGGTCATTGAAGGACATACATTTATAATATTAATTTATTTTTGAACATTTTATAAAAAGTGGTGACGTTCAAAACAATTTCCAAAATGCATAGCTGGTTGATTTTGACATGTTTTACAATAAAATGTTTTTCCGCCGCCTTCCTCCTTGTGTTTTTCTGTCAAAGCGGACAATACAATCTGTTTTTCTTTCTCTGGCATTTAGAATATGCCACTGATTAGTCAGTATATTTGTTCATTTTTATGCTGCCATAATGGTTTGTTTTTCTATTATATTGCCTAATAATACATTTGTAAAATATAAAGTAAAATAATATATTGGATGTCTTATATTGCTTGGTATTTGTAGTCGGGGTCTTATATTGCTTTGTATTTGTAGCCGCTCTTCATTTAATTTGTCGAACGTTCTTCTTCTTCTTCTTTTTGTTGGTTGGATAATATCATCATCACATTCATCACTATCATCGATGCGAATAGTAATATCGTAAAATTTGTCTGTATGAATGTCTATTTGAAATTCATCTTCTCTACTAAATTAACTAAATTTACCAGTCGTTTTGCCATATTTAAAAACGCTCTGCCGTTTTAAATATTAAAAAAAGGTCTATATAGCAAAGAAAAAGGCTAAAAATACTACTAAAATAACTTAAAATTATTTTCAAAGTACAACACTGTTTATCACTGCTATATGTAATTTATTCAAGTTTTCGATGCAAACTGAGTCGTTGTTTATAAAATAGCCTGTGCCTCATAGAGTATGTTTGTCCACTCAGGTGGACAGCCGTCCCCAAAGAGTTAAATGCAAACAAGGAGGTTGTTTTTGATATAGGGTCGCGGACCTATAATGTGCACTATTTTTAATTTCGTAATTGCTGTAACAAACACAACTTCAAACTAATAACAAATATAACTTCGAACTAATTGCTTCGGTTATCGGTACTACGACCAGTTTGCGCAGTTTCTATTTTGTTGATTACCAATATCGATATTGGTAGTATTGGCCAAGATATAAAATTAAGATCGATAAGTTATCCTTAATTATTTGAAAAAATAAAAATTTGAATGTGACCTGAAAGCTACTCAGGCCCATAGAGGGCGCCTTATCTTTGTATCATACTGTTGAATCATTTCTTGAGAAAACGTAAACGACTGATATTATTTTCAGATATAACTTATTGTTCAAAAAATCAAAAAATTAAATTGCAAATTCTTATTGTGTTTGCAACATTATATACATATCGTATTCTTTAAAGAATTAGAAACAATTAAATAGAACAATACAAAAGGACAATAATATACATTTATATTTCTGATTAAAATACAGAAGGCATATAGAAGGTCATTATGTCAATCGAATGTGCATATATATATATATATACATATATATATATATATACATATATATATATATATATATATATATATATATATATGCAGATTCGATTGACTACCTATCTATGTATTCGATTGACTATCTATCTATGTATTCGATTGACTATCTACCTAATATATTTATATATATATATATATATATATATATATATATATATATATATATATATAGTTAGATACATATATGCATAATAATAGAACCCAGCTTCATTAAAACCTCAAGTGCGGTTTATTCTGAATCATATACCTGGAAATAAATAAATAAAATTTGTAATTTTAATTTTCATAGCGGTTACATTATTAATAATATTATATACTGGATTCAATGGAGCGTTTTCGCCAAATGTTTGTTAAACAAATAATCTTCTGTAATGGTGTATGAAAGAATAATCCTCCTGAACGATTATTTGGATTTTGATAAATCTTTCTGAAGTTTGTTAAGAGATTTTTTTAGGATTTTTTGAATTATAGAAATATAGTTATATCAGATATAAATAGAGAAAATTACAAAAAAACGCTTATCATTGTTTGACATTGAAAATATTTGAGGCGTTGTTTGGCATTGAAAACAAATGAAAACTGTCATTTGCCAAATATTTTAATTCACTTATGAGCTAAGACAATATTAAAATATAATATCCATTATTATGAATAAGCAAAATGTAATGTCTTCATTATTATTGCCGAAAAGCAGCTGAGATGAAACATATTCGATTCGATTCGAAGACAAGGCAGTCGCTATATAAAATATGAATGATAAAATGTATAGTATTTGTAATGATCTATTCGTAACTACTTAAAACAATTGTTATCAGTTATTGATCAATTTTTATTGATTATTTTTATTTGGTTTGATAACCATACGGAATATTCAAGCAATTCGCTTTAAGGCCCAATGCCATACACCATTAGGTTTAATATTGTTACCTGTCAAGATGCTCCCAAAAACTCATGAAAAGAGCTCGATCTAGATGCCTCTTCGATCTTGATAAGTTTAATACTGTCACAGACCAACCAGCCACATTCTTATCTAATTTCATTTCATCATATTTCAAGTGGAAGGCGCTGACTGAAAAAAGTAATCTACACTGTGACCATTATGAATGAATAGTAAATATTTTACATATGAAAGATTAATTGTATATATTAACGAAGTATTATATTAAATAATTTGATATAACCATGATTAATCAAATATTCCGAGAGAGCTAGTATATATAGTATAGTCAAAACTCCATTTTAGTTACACATTGAAGTGAATAGAGTTAATTTCGTGGTTTAACTTTCACTGCTGTCGTACGAGCAATACAAGAAAATATGCAATATATTAAATAGACATATAATCTTTAAAATCCAAAGTAATTTGATTGTTTACATTGACAAACCCTTCCACTTGAATTGCGTCGATACCAACTGCACCGACTTGACGTGCACCAATTACGCCTAGAATCTGTGCTTGAATGTTGCAAAATGTTTTTTTTTCCAACATTTTTATCATTCTAACTTTATTACTTCTTCCCAGACATTAAATGATCATTTTCTACTCTATATTTCGCGTCAACGATTTTGATTTTTGTATTTGAAAACTATCAAGATAAGAATGTGAAGCATTTAGCAGCATTTTTTTCAGATAAAAATTTGGGTGACCCTCACTTCCCTACATTTTCGGAAAACACGGTAAATACACTTTTTTGCCATTCAAAAATAGAAATACTTCTAAACATAATTGTAACCTTCTGTTATAATAAAAAGTTGCGTTTTGGAATACCATTGCAACCAAGAAAAAATATTTTGTTGTTAAACATTTTACAACCAAAAATAAAAACGTGGCCCACTTCTGTCCACCGCATCCTATAAATATATAACTATTATTCTGACTGTTTAAAAAATGAAATTTAAATGTTGGAACAGTGCGTCAAAAGGTTCAAATTATTATATGATTATTAAGAGTTTATATTCGTGCATTGTAAAAGATCAACGTTACGATTAACATTTAATAAAATCCCATACGATCAAAAAAACAAATTTAAGCACAGATATAAAAAAATTGAATTTAAAATAAAATCAATATACATTATATATTATACCATACTTTTTGCAAAAATTTCCACTGGATTTCCATCCCATGGCCATCCTTTAAATTGCCAAGCAGGTCCCATTACAAAAACCGCAACCACGCGTGTCCAGTCCTTCAATAAAACATAAAAAATATATTACACTTACAAGATCATATATAAAGTTTAATCATAGATTACTTCTACTTATTATGTAATTCAATTATGTTTTGAATAAATCATGTTACAATATTAAATATTGTGTGAAACCCGTCTCACTCGGCGCAGTTTTCGTTGCAAGAAATTTCTACTTGCAACTTCTTGGTTTTCTTGCGCGGCGTGGCGCTAGATATCGTGATAGAATTTTATACTGTTGACTTCACACAAAGCGAGATTGAATGATTTCGATTTGGCCTGCATACGCCAAATTCAAAAAAAAAGACACTGCCGTTACAAATATACTACACATCATCTAGTTTGTACATGTAAGTGATCCAACTGGTTTGCAATCAAAAATCTAGCAACAAATCTATCTTCAAAAATAGCATGCGTTCTATTCACAGAATCTAGCAATCGTCATTTAATTTAATATCGTGTAATATTAAAGTTTGTAGTTTTATTTATATACAAAAACGTTAGTAAACAGGCCGCAAGTGTTACTAGAGACTCAGAATATCAACATTTTTGAAATGTTAATATGAAAACTCACATTTCGGCATATTTATCTCAAACATGGTGCTCTGAAAGATCTCATTTGTATAATTATATACTCATTGGTTTTTATAAAACATTTTCTAGGTCATATTATTTTTTATTTATGTTATTTCGAATCAGAACCTAAATTTGGTATCGATCAAATGGACATTTTGTCGAATAACATTATCCCAGTTATAATTTCCCAGAATTTATTGAACAATAGATAGTAATATATGATGGTCCGGGGTTAAAAAGATCAACCATCGATGTGTCAAAAACCAGTAAAGTTAAGCGTTGTTTAACAACAATATTTGAAAGTAGAGGAAAAATATGTAGAACCAGCTATAACCTTGATTTGAAAACGCTATTCTTTAAAAGGGGACATAAACGATAATCTTTGAAAATTCATAATAGAAGTATTTTCTTCCGTTGGTAGTTTTTTAACATTAGTTAAAAATGTAATTATTTTGATACGTTTAAAATTATAATAATGCTTTAAACCGTTTTGCCAACTGCCCGTTTCGAGTTACCCCGCCTATAGGGTAAAAAGGTCTAGATAGGTAAAATTTAGAATATACCTTACTTAGTACATATATATCTTCTGTAATGATCTATGTAAATATACTCCTAAACGATTATTCGGATTTTGATAAATCGTTCTGAAGTTTGATAAGGGAATTTTTTAGTATGTATGTAATTATAAAAATATAGTAATATTGTAGAAATAAACGAAAAAAATAGCAAAAACGACATGTTATTGTTTGAAATTGAAAATATTTTGATACATGAGAACTGTCATCTGCCAAAAATGTCGATTCACTTGGAATTTGAATTTAGTTTAAGTGAGCCGAGACAATATTAGTATATAATATCCATATGCATAATTATGAATAAGAAAAATGTAATATCTACAATATTTTTGTCGAAAACCAGCTGAGATGTGCAAGAAATTAAAACCATATGAGATACAATATATGTTTGGCAGGTGAAATTACATAATAAAGTTTAATAAATAACACAATACGTCCAAAATTGCACATTGATTATTTATTTAAACTTATGCATGGTGTATTTTGCTTTACTTTACTAAATTATTTAAATACGAAAGAATATTTCTACTTATTGAAAAAATGATTTAGAATGTTGTTTCGTGTGTCAAAAATTCATTTGTATCATCATGTTCTTCGATTGAACAGACCCATATGAACTGGATTTATGAATTAATTCACCTAAAATTTTAATTAAAGTGATAATGTTCGTTAAATTATTAGTAAGAAAAATGTAATTTAGAAATTGTAATTGCCAGAAAGCAACTAATATAGGGTTTAACAACTTTTACAGTAAATACTATATTTATTCTTTCTGAATTTCTTATACTGATTAAAAATCTACAGTTTCCAATACATATATACCTTATGCTAAAACCATAAATGAAAGGACATTAAATAAAATATTAAAAAGTATAGGATAGAATATTAAAAAAATTTGATACCTGCTGATTTAATTTTGCAGGATTATCCAAAACCCTATAAGGTACAGTAACGTTTGCTTCCTTCCGTCTTTGTATTAAAAGCTCATTATCGCGCAAGGCGCCGCTTGCTTTTTTTTCTTCTTGAGATATAAATTTTAAATCCTGAAAATGAAACAGACAAAAATGTATCAATGCTTACAAAAATACTTTTTATATGTTTATTTTTTTGTAAATTAAAACATGTTAGGATAAAAATGCAAAAAATCATGCCCATCCTGAAGATATTTGTTCAAGGAAAAGTATTGAAGACTTAATGCGCGCTGCTTAAAATTCGAACAGATGTAATTCTGTTCGAAATGCCAGTATAGTTACACCATTACATTTTAAATATGTATAAATAATAAATTTGAACAGAGTGTTTTTAACTTCTATGTTTATATCACGCCCATCTCCATTGGATCAATAGGAACTTGCAAAGTGCTACAAAACCGACATTTAACTTGTTAAAAAGTATTTATAACTAGTTAAAAGTGGTATTTTGTCTTGAGGCATGTTGCAAAAGCTTTCCGTTAGATGTAATAATAACCTTAACCAAAATTGTGATTTAGATATTTAAATCAAATTTTTAACTGTTTCTTTCAATAATTAAGTTTTCGCTTTCACTTAATTCTAAATATTGCAATCTCCAATTGATATCTCTCAAACACATATTTTTTATCTATGATTATATTAATTATAGTGCACAGGCACGTGCAGTATATCTTAAAATTGTAACTTATTAATTCTAATTGTAATTGTAACACTTATCTTGAATTCAATGGCTCTTTCTATTATCAAGTTTTTTTTTCAACAGTTAATTACAATTTGATTTTTCAAAATCGATTCGGTTCTGCCATGCATATGAGCTTAAATGTGGACGAAAAGATTAACACTTTTTTCAAAATTACAAAGAAATGGCTTGGCAGATCATTGCACAAAACTGACACACAATAGTCCTCATTAAGATGCATTAAATGGCTTTTAAATTTCTGAAATCGGTTCAGGCATCTTTGAGCAAACGTCGATGAAAAGTCAAATTTTGACAAATGCCAAAATTTCGATACTAATTTTTGCAAACTTTGAATTTAAAATTAAACGACTTGTCGTAGGACCGTAATATTTTAGTATGATCTAGAAGACTATGATATCTATCATCAAAACTAATACTATCAAAAAAAAAAAAAATGAAAATCGTCGAAAAATTTTTTTTTAACACACAACAAGACACGACACCGTTTTCTTGTAAATATGCTTTTTCAGTACTGATCTGGTATATATAAATAACTGCTTTGGTACAACAAAGAAGTTTTACAAGCTTTCTGTAGTTCTCAATAGTTGTAGTTGATGTTATTGTTTGACAAAGTTCTTGTTGTGTAATTTCTATTGTGTACAAATTATTAATATCACTACTCATAACTTTATAATTTGTAACTGGCAGTGGTATAATTTTTGGCTCAATATTTGTTAATAGGTCAAATCTTATTATTCAGTTTAATCGGTTCATCTATTTGTAGTGTTGGTCGCTTTTTCCTCGTGCTAGTAACAACTTGCCATGAAGCAGAATTCCAAGAAGTAGCAGTTTGAGAATCCACATTTTCCCTGACTGTAAGTTCATTGCACAAATTTATATTTATAGCACCAGGTTGCTTTGCAGAATGCACGTCGAAAACTAGCTTATTCTCTTGTAGTCATTATTATTTTAACGAAAATTTGACAAAATTCCTTGCGATGAGCATGATCATAGTCATACTTTTATTACAGATCTGTTGTCTGAAATCACTTTTTTCGATGATTACTTTTCGGTTGATTAACAATAAATACTATTTTGTAAACTATTTTGAATAGATTCTGAAATAAAACCTGATCCGCTTGTCAGAGTTATTAATTCTCTTGGGTCTAAGAAAATTTCCATATTGTTAAAAAAAATAATCGATTGGACAACAGGAATAATCGGTTCTTTGCTCCTTCCGAAGGAAACCATGTTGCATAAGCCCTGCACTACATTAACTGATAACATATTTTTTCTTCAAAATAAAAACAGATAAACAGCTTAAGGACACTGAAGTTGCCTTTTAAACAAAAAGATTACGATGTGCAATAGTCGATATTAAATTCTCATTTATTGGTACTACTGCGATGTGTACTTCCTGAATTATTAGTAACTAACTCCGTCTGTCGGAAAAAATCTACGAACTTTTTCCTTTACCTTATATGCTGCTACTGCCAGTAATCATTGGTTACTACATTACAATTGTACATTCAAACTATCAATAAATTTTTGAAACAACGATATTTAAAAACAAGCAAATGCAGTGGTTATTATTATTCAACTCATCTATTAAATTCTAGCTTAATGTCAAGTAAAAAAAAGTATTGTAATCACCTGCAAAATTTCCTTTGCATTATACATAGTTATGAGACTAGTAGTTGCAGCTGGTATTATAATGATCGGAGTCCTTGAACCTCTTTTATTAGCATTATTAATTGGTAGCAATCTAGCTTGCGCTGTTGGTATCAATTCTTTGGATCTGCCAGCTGAAATTCAAAATTCTGGATTACAAACACACCCACATACAATAGACAAATCCTTCTAATGAGTTCATTCAAGTAATAAATTTCTGACTTAGTCTAAATGCGCAAGTGTTATTAAATTCCAGAATGATCTGAACCAAACAATTCGATAAATTTGATCATTCTCATTACATGTAATCCGTCTATCTATAGAATTGACTAGAACTTCTTAATAAGAATAACTACGTAACTGTAATAATAACTAATAATTCACTTTTGATACATAAAATTTGCCTAAAATATTCAGTAGATATAAAATAATAACACTTCGATATTTGCAGAAAGCCGTAAGTAGACTGACCTGTTTATTATATTATTAAATTTTTTCTACCTAGAATGAGTTAGGACTACACTTAAAACGTGTGAATTTATTGGTTTTCGTTTTAAAGAAACGTATTTTAATTGTCTTTCTATTTTATTATCTATATAAATGCCTGTTGTGAAGTAATTTGTTTATATTTATCACCATCTGAAAGATAATTGATCACATCCACACACATCCACACACCCACACACAAACACACACACACACACATATATATATATATATATATATATATATATATATATATATATATATGTTTAACTCGAGTTAGAAAGACGGACGTTACATCAATAAAAATAGTATGAGTTTTTTAACTTCCCGTAGGGTAAGTTATTGTAATGGGCCGAAAATCGGAATTGAAAATTTTTACATTTCTCGACGTTTTGAAGGTTTCTGAACGTTTTGGCATACCTCAGAAAAAATGGATGTGTGTGTGTGTGTGTATGTATGTATAGATACAAATTTCCAGTCACGTTTTAGAGCGTACGGATCAACCGATTTGAATGGTTCAAAAAACATTCGATTCCTATTGATAGGGAAAAGGGCTGATTAGTTTTTGGCAAAGGCAGGTCCAGCCTTTGCCAAAGTCTGAGATACGGAGCAAAGAGTGCAGAAAATAGAAATCGAATTTTTGAGAGAACGGAGTATCCGATTTGAATGATCTAAAGAACATTCAATTAGTAATGATTGGGAGAAGTGTTTATTAGTTTTTGGCAAAGGCAGGCCCAGCCATTTCAAAGATACGGAGCTAAATATGTAAAAAATGGCAGTTTTTGAGAGAACTATGCGTCCGATTTAAATGATTCAAAGAACTTTCTGCTTGCAATGTTACAATATTTATAATAATCTATTTGAAAACATTCAGTATTCCTCGAACATTTCGTTGCGGTACGGGAAGTTTCAGCAATTTGCCTTAAGGCACGATGCCGTTATTGCGTCCACTTACAGCTGGTTAAAAATTTATTTATTAAAAATTCATACTTTTCGGCTATCATCTTAGCCTTCATTCAGTGGTAATCAATTTGAAATTTTGTATCCTAACATAACATATGAAACCATTATTAATCCATGGTATGAGTATGTGCACATTGATAAAATGTATATTTTTTAACATCACAGATGGTAAAACATACTTGGAGCGAATTGCTGCTCCAATGTTCAAAAAACTGCAACACCGCACAAGCAGAAAGCTGTTCGCTTCATACAGGGCAATAAAGAATATTTACCCAAATATTAGGTATAATAGTTAGTACAACTTTAAGCGTCACCAAGAAAGCACATAAAAGTACCCGCATGACGAGCGAAAGCAGTCAAATTTCTTTTAAGTTTGTTATTATAATTAACCGCCCGACTCGCGAAACCAGTCGAAATTAAACAAATATAATATTATGAAATGTTACTAATGAGTGAAATAAATTATTGAATTACAAAGTGTGTTTCAATATAAACCCAATTTACATTTATGGGAAATGTCCCATAAAATGGTCCTATACTAATTAACAAGTTGTCGAAACTATGTATTTACTTTAGAGATAGAAATTTCTATCTCAAACTCCGAACAGTAAATACATCCGCTAAATTTTCTAATAAATGTTTTTCAAAACGTAAAATCATGAGGTTGAGAAAATCCTCTCAGTGTTTGTAGTTATTGGTGTGTTTTCTGTCAGCATACTTTTGTTTTTGTTCTTGTTTTCAGAATTGTATTTTTGTTGCGGTATTCTTTTGTGTAAGTCTTGACTGGTTTAGCCTATGTAAACTCCGCAATTGAGAGAGTTTAGCTCGTAAAAAAGGTTGCGTAAGTTTTTTGGGTCAAATTTTTAAATTAATTTTGAAAAAAAAGAACAATTATTTTCAGAAGTAGTACCTTAAAATACTTAATGAAAAGTTTTCTCCGCTAGTAATACAGGTTTTTTATAAAAGATAGTTATAATTCCGACATAGGTTTTACGGTTTGGTTTCTTGATGAAAGCTTGTGACGGTTTTGGAGGCATAACATTCTATTTTTAGTTATAGATTTAGTTAGATCAGGTGCTGTGGGTCGGAATTATTCCTTAGGATTTGTGATAATTGTGGAAATTGTTCTTTAAAACTTAGAGTGTGTATGTGAGCCGATTTTTAGATCATTCGTTGAATGCATCTCAAAGATTTATGAAACTCGAAAAGGGCTCGTATCGGTATATTTTGGGATTAATTTTGCGAGATGCTGGCCCGAGCCAGTTCTTTATAATGAACAGAAAAGTGTAAGATTCTTTGCCCGACATAAACCAATTTTGGCAATTGAATTATTTATATTGAAAGTGAAAAATGATTTTCTGAAATAACTCTCACTTCTGACGCATTAAGTTGAAAATATACAGTAGATCCCGATCGTATGTAAGAAATTGTTTGAACAAATTCGAAAATTTTATAAATTCTTACATATAATAAACAAGTTCGTACGATATATTGAATTAATTTTTTATACGAAAGTAAGGACCGCATAAAAAAGTCTAACATGGAAAAAACATGAGTGATTTATGAAATAGAATAATTAATCTGGGCATAAAGAAATTGTAAAAGAATTTAATTTTGATCACATGAGCCGTAAATGAAAGTTTGCAGACATCATGCGCGTTTAGTGGCAATGCTAATGGCTGTGTTCATAATTAAAGCAAAGATTCATACTAAATCGCACAAAAACGTGATTCACTGTATATGTAAATAAAATAAAACTAAAAAATGAAATATCTGTAATCAAAAATTGGTCCACAATTATTTTATGGTGAAAATTGGGAATCTAGCATAAATAACTTCAAAGTTATTTAATTTTTATTTTTCAAGAACATAGTTCAAGTAAAATATAGAAGTTATTAGTTACCGTAAATTAGTTTCACTATTGATATTTTTTTCAGTATTAGAACATAAGTAATAGTAGAAATCTTCTGAATAAAAGGATTAGTTTTTCATGAACAAACAAAATGAAAGTCTTGGAATACTTAAAACATATTATTTAAATGATGTGGTAAAAAATAATAAAATATGCAACTTACATAGAGATGGTTGAACATTCATTTGCTTCTTTTGGGCAGTTGAGCCCTCCGTCACACTTTTTAAAGTCATACCATGATATGTTCCCATAGTATCAATTTTGAAACCTTCAGTTTCTTCCTTTTGGCGATTAAATCTCTCTTGATCGTAACTAGAAAATAACATACAATATAATAAAGCTAGTGAGATGTTGCATTGAGTATTAATGAAAGCAATGAATAAATAACTGTCTGTAAATTTCGAAATCCATTAAGAATATACTGACTGCGCTTTTCAATTGCAAATTATATTCAAAAAAAAGTAAAAAAGTATGTTTGAGAGAAGGGGTCAGTTTGGCATGTTTTCAATGATATCTCGGCTATAAGATGAGGTACAAAGTTGAACTTTATATTGGCGTATAAATTATTTAAATACCAGGGTGGGGCCGATTATGTATGACAAAGCGCGTGAAGATAATTGGCAAACCAATTTCCAATGTTAATGTGTGTGGTCTCAACCCTAGCTGATTAAGTATTTTAAAAATACCGTTGGATAATTATTTTTCTTCATCAATTTCCACAATAGTGTCAATCGATTTACGTGTAATTTGATCACTTTAAATACTGGATTGAATAGTGTTATTAAATCTTTATTCTTTGTGCAAAGATAAGTACACCGAACTAATCGTAACTTCTATAAAAATATGATTTATTTGTATGTATAATCCAATTTCCCGTAACAGTCATAAGAACACCTCAGCTGTTCCTAGACTGACAAAATAAACAAAAACGTGACTTGTGTCTTATGCTCAGACAATCATCCTGCAAATTATAGAAGATGTATCAAATAAAAATAGTTAAATTACGAAGATTTCTACTTTTAGGGCAAAAAATCTTAGCCCAGAACTCACAGGTTATCAATCACTCACAAGTACAGGACATTATAACATACTCACAAATGACTCAAAATAATAAACAAACACATATGGAGCACAAAACTGGACAACGCCCAACCGCACAAGGGAAACAGCCTTAAGCCAATCAACAATGATCAAGTTCAAAATCAAAATAATAACCAAGCCAATAACATGGAAAAATTAAAAGGTTTGTCGAAAACACTAATCGCCCAAATGGGCAGCATTGCTCAAATTAATCACCTTTCTTTTAAGTAAAAAATAATGGCCTCTTCACTTAAAATATAAGCACGTGGAACGTCAAGCAATTTATTTTATACAATCGTATAGACATCATGTTAATTTTAGAGTCGCACTTTACCAGTAGAAACTATTTTTGTCTTTATAAATACACCACTTATTCATACATTTTTATTTACGTTATTTAAATTCAGAACATAAATCATCAAAGGGACATTTTGTCGAATAACATTTTCCCAGTTATAATTTTCCATAATTTATCGAAGAATAGATAGTAATATATGAAGGCCCACCACCGATATGAAGGTGTTAAAAAGGTCCACCACCGATGTGTCAAAAACCAGTAAAGTTAAGCATTGTTTAACAACAATATTTGAAAGTAAAGGGAAAAAGATGTATAACCAGCTATAACCTTGATTTGAAGATTTTAGTAAAAATCTTCAAACCTTGATTCTAATTTATAATAGCTAAAACCTTGATTCTAATTTATAATAGAAATTTATATTTATATTTATATTTATATTTATATTTATATTTATATTTATATTTATATTTATATTTATATTTATATTTATATTTATATTTATATTTATATTTATATTTATATTTATATTTATATTTATATTTATATTTATATTTATATTATATTTCGGGATAAACGGTATCTTTAAAAATCCATAATAAAAGTATTTTCTTCCGTTGGTAGATTTTTAGCATTAGGTAAAAGTGTAATCATTTTGTAAAATCCTCTAAAATTAAAATAAGACTTTAAACCTGTTTGCCATCCGGCCATTTCAATTTACCCCGCCTATAGGGTAAAGAGGTCTAGATAACAAATTTTTGAAAGACATAAAAAAGCATATTTCTACAGTGATAAAGTAGAAGGCAGTTTTACTAAACGTAGTCAGATAATTGTTTGTTTGAAATTTGTTATTTGTTGTGATATAATTGTTATGGTTTTCACAATATAGTTTATATTATCTCAAGGTCAAATTGGACCTTTGTGCCTGGTCCTACTCTACATATATACTTTTTATTGAATTTACTTTAATTCATCGAATGTTACTTAAAACTTTTCAAAAATCAGGTCAATGAAGAGATACTTAATTCTTTTTCTATCTCTTCTCGCAAAAATTTGAAAATTTTGTATAAGCTCAGTAGTATTATTTACAATAATACACAAAATCCAGAATCCAAAAAGAAACTGAACAACTTAAAATGTAATCGATAAGCCAAAAGACCAAAAAAGACTTGGATTGCATTACACCATGTTTTCTATAGAAAGTGTATAAAACTTCCAGTTTTATTGTGTTGACAAAATATAGACAAACTAATGGGATTTATAATTGTTTTTATAATACCTCATTGTATATAGCATTGAAACAACACATCCTTATACACTTAAAGTATTAATATTTTTGATTCTCTAGAAATTGTTTAGAATATACCTTACTTAGCAAAACAACCTTAGCCGGGTCAGCTAGTATATTTATATATATATATATATATATATATATATATATATATATATATATATATATATATATTGATTGTTTCTTTTCCGAACAGTAAGTCCAATAATAAAAAACAATTTGTTTTTTGAAGATGTTTAATACGACGTTTCGGAACTAGGTACGTTCCATCATCAGGTTTATTCTGTCAAATCCAATGTTTTTTAAAAATATTGATTAACATTAATTAATGATGGTCAATACAGATTAATTAGAAAAAAAAAAATTTATAAAGGAATTGATTATGTACCGGGGTAAAGAGTAATTAAAAAAGGTTTTATATAAAATTGAGAAGCAAAAATTATTTACCTGTAATAATTTATATATCCATATCACTAATATTTTTTTGTTAAAAACACTCGATTTTTTTGGAGGATATTTGTAGATGTTACGACTACACAAGACTTAAACACACTGATATGGAGTTCTGTCGGCCAGATGTAAGACAACGTACGGAATTCCTGGCAAAAATGATTTTTTATGGCTCTTGTATTGGTAATTTACGAAAAAAGAGGAAATATTGCTTTAGTAAATGTTGAGAAATATTATGTATAGTTTTACAAACCCTTGAAATTTCCGTTTTCTCCACATTAAATTTCCAAATATATGTTTATGTTAGATATGTAGATGACACTTTTTTTATAATAGACAAAGAACAATCAGATATGATAATCGATACCTTTAACAATTACAATAAGAGCATTCAGTTCACACATGAAACACAAATCGACAACAAATTAAACTTTTTAGACGTGACTGTACACAAAATTGACAACATTATTTGCACAAATTGGTACAGAAAAACTACATGGTCAGGAAGATACCTTCATTACGCGTCATATTGTCCCAAAAATTATAAAGTCAATACAATCATTTCTTTGATAGACCACGCAATCATGTTGTCTCACTCTTCTTTTCATACCCAAAACACAACATTAGTAACTAAAACTTTATTAAAAAACGGATATCCCCTCACCCTCATCAATTCCATTACCAATAAAAGACTTTCCTATCATAAAAGTAACAATTATCAATCCATCTCCAAGTTATTCCAAGACAACAATATTAAACCAACTTTTACAGCATGCCTTACATTGAAGGCTTATTTGATTATTTTGCCAAATTACTCAAAGAAGAAAATATTTTCATTTCAGGAACAGCTCTATTATATTCTTTTAAAGAAATGTTTTCAAAAATTAAATCCACCACCCCTCCTAAATTCAATACTAACATAGTTTATTCCATCCCTTGCAAAAATTGTCAAAAACAATACATTGGCCAAACATCACAATACATTCATAAGAGAATGAGACAACATGAATTAAGCGTCACTCATCATAAAAGCCGAAATTTCCAAAGTACTCTTGTCCAGCATTCCATCGAAAACTCACATAATTTCACCTTTGAACCCAATATTTTATATAGAGAGGATTGTACTTTTAAAAGACTTTTTTCTGAAAGCAGTTTAATCTTTTTGAATTCGTCAAATAGTGTTAATAAAAGATCAGATCACAATATCATTCATGACTCATATCTAAATTTTTTAAACCTGATTAAAAACAATTAATCCTAATAATTTTTGAATATGTATATATATACATGTATATATGTTATAATATATGTACATCCATATATGTGCATATATGTATGTATGAGTATGAGTATGAGTATTTTTGTGTGTACACTATATACATGCACTTGCATATATATTCATGTATATAATTGTGGATACATTAATATATAGATATGTGCATATGTATGTATGAGTATGTGGATACATTAATATATAGATATGTGCATATGTATGAGTGTGTAGGCCAAAAGTTTCCGGACACATGAAAAAATCTCATTTTCTGAGTTTTTAGCTATATTTTTCATATAAAAATAATTTTATTCAAGTTAGTTTTGTACATTCTACGTAGTATTAATATTTAGTGACTGATTTGTAACCAATTTGTGAGAAATGATGGTCTAATTAGCAATGAAAATGTTAAAATGTCACAGTCGATTTTCCTGAATATGACCATCCTTTGCTTTGATCACTGCAGCGCGTATTTTTGGTAATCTTTTGACGAGTTTTTGCAATGTTTGCGCAGGTATGTTCTTCCAGGACTCGTTAAGGCAATTCCACAGGGCAGCAAGGCTGGTTGGATGCAAATCCTTCACGAGGCATTTAAGCTCGTCCCACAACAGCTCTATTGGATTAAGACCCGGCGATTGTGCAGGACACTCAAAAAACCACTTCTGCGAACAGTAAATAAACAAAAGAGATTGCAATTTGCCAAAACCCACTTAAATTGGACCATCGATCAATCTAAATCAGTTTTATGGACGGATGAGTCAAAATTCGAACTTTTCGGAAATCATCGACGTAGGAAGGGTAATGAAAGACTCAATTCTAAGTGTATTTCGCCAAAGGTGAAGCACGGTGGTGATTCAGTGATGGCTTGGGGTTGTTTTAGATTCAATGGAGTCGGATCGCTTGTCAAAATAGATGGAACTTTAAAGAAAGAACAGTATCACACCATACTTCAGCGCCACGCCATTCCATCTGGTCTTAATTTAATTGGTCCAAAATTTATTTTTCAACAAGATAATGACCCTAAACACACTTCCCGACTCTGTGCCAATTATTTGAAGCGAAAATAAGACGAAAAAATACTTCAAATAATGGATCTTAATCCAATAGAACTGTTGTGCATTTGTCTGACTGATTTGCATCCAAGCAGCCTCCCTGCCCTGTGGAATTGCCTTAACGAGTCCTGGAAGAACATACCTGTGCAAACATTGCAAAAACTCGTCAAAAGATTACCAAAAATATGCGCTGCAGTGATCAAAGCAAAGGGTGGTCATATTCAGGAAAATCGACTGTGACATTTTAACATTTTCATTGCTAATTAGTCCATCATTTCTCACAAATTGGTTACAAATCAGTCACTAAATATTAATACTACGTAGAATGTACAAAATTAACTTGAATAAAATTATTTTTATATGGAAAATATAGCTCAAAACTCAGAAAATGAGATTTTTTTCATGTGTCCGGAAACTTTTGGCCTGTACTGTATATATATACACATAATATTTCTCAACATTTACTAAAGCAATATTTCCTCTTTTTTTCGTAAATTACCAATACAAGAGCCATAAAAAATCATTTTTGCCAGGAATTCCGTACGTTGTCCTTTACATCTGGCAGACAGAAATCCATATCAGTGTGTTTAAGTCTTGTGCAGTCGTAACATCTACAAATATCTTCCAAAAAAATCGAGTGTTTTAAAAAAAAATATTAGTGATATGGATATATAAATTATTACTGGTAAATAATTTTTGCTTCTCAATTTTATATAAAACCTTTTTTAGTTAATTCTTATTACTCTTTACCCCGGTACATAATCCATTCCTTTATAAAAAAAATTTCTAATTAATCTGTATTGACCATCATTAATTAATGTTAATCAATATTTTTAAAAAACATTGTACTTGACAGAATAAACCTGATGATGGAACGTACCTAATTCCGAAACGTCGTATTAAACATCTTCAAAAAACAAATTGTTTTTTATTATTGGATTTACTGTTCGGACTTATCTATCGAATATATATATATATATATATATATATATATATATATATATATTTGAATAGTCTTGACCTTGATGTTGATATGGATATATACAGTTGTGTAATAATTTAATAGAGTTCTGGAAAATTCTGTCGCCTAAAAGATTATACGTTATATCAAATTTGCCTACTTCCCAGTACGTCGCGGAATTTAGTACGTCAGTATTTTATACTCGAACAAACACTCTGGAAAGATTTGTGCAATTATGCTTAATTAGGCATTTTAGTTAGATTTAAATTATTAAAATATAAAACAGAGCAATCTGCTGTCGACTATCGTGCCAGCAGCATCTTTCGAAATGTAGCCTCCAAAAATATAGTTTTGTAAATCACATTTTAAAAATTATTTGCTAGTCTTCTTCTGCGAACGTTGATGTACTTCTGAATATTTTATGTAAATTCCATGTAATAAACGAAATTTACGAAATAATGTGTAAAATATACGTTTAATTGTAAATCCCTACAACCTGCGACAACAATCTGGCTGACAATATAATTTCAATATCCTTTAATCCAATTGGCTTGTCCGCTTATCAAATTTACTATCGCACACCAGTATTTACTTAATTATAATGTACCATGCACAATATTAATAAATAAACTGAATTTATATAGGGACAAAAATCGTTGGTATCAGCTATCAATATATGTTAATGTTACCGATTGTATACTGCAGGTTGCGGCGCAGGCCTTAAAGGTCTTGGAGGTTCAACGCCAGGTACTGCAGCTGGAAAACGAGCGGCCCCTTTTCCATCTTCCCGTGCCTTTATATCCTGTAGTATTGCTAGTATATTTTTCGCAAAAATCTAAAAACATAATTTTTCAATTAAATAAAAATGCACAACAAGTAAATCAAAAATATTAATTAATTTGCAGAAGTAATAAGTAAACAACATATTCATTAACGGTTAATGAATATGTTGTCTACTTATTATTTATGCAAATTAAAATATTTAATTTAAATGTTAATTCATCATATGACAAATATAAATATAAATTAATGATTAACCTTTCGTTCGCAGTACGTCAACTATATCCAATACCGTTGATATAAAAAATCATTCCAAATAAAATAAATTTCTAACGAAAAATTTAAAAAAAGTCTTTTATAAATGATAAGCAAATAACATCGGTGTATGATTCTAAGTGAAAATGGTTTTTATGGTCCGTGAGGTTGTCTTGTTTGCTAAAAAAAGCACTTGAGTCTTACGAACTTCCCGTAGGATAAATTATGGTAATCGCAAAGAATCGAAAAAGAAACTTTTTGCATATCTTTACGTTTCAAAGGTACCAAAACATGCCTTAAAAAATGAAAGTATGTGTGTATGTATGTATGTCTGTGTCTTTTTTTGTCCAGGCCGCTTCTGATGATATCATTGCTTCCATTAGTGTTTCTGGTCAAATTCTCTGCTTTAGAATTGTTTCCAGTTTATTTCGCTAAAGCGCGAGCTCTCAAAGAAAACACGCTCTGCATCTTCAATAACACCCCTGCAAACTGGGCACTCGGGGGAATCATCGTGCTTAAAGCGATGAAGATAAGCCCAAAAGCAGCCGTGTCTAGATAGCATCTGCGTTAGATAGTTTTTAGCCTCTGATTCAGCCAAACGCCAATCTTAGGTATAAGACCATCTACCCTTTTTGCGGCATTCCACTGTAGTTGCCACCGTCTTAAGCTGTTTCCACGTACTTCGGTTTTGAGAACCTTGAGCGCTTGATGTCGATGACCTGCGTTGGTAAAGAATTCGTCTTTCCTCAGCTAAACGTCTAAAAGGCAAAGACCCGGCAATGACACACAACGCTTCCTCAGATATTGCGCGGAAGCCGCATATTACTCGTAAAGCATTCAAGCGGTATACAGGACTAAATTTTCTCTATGATTCTTGGAGCTTCAGTGCGTATGCGCAAATAGGTACTATAAGTGAGCACCGAGGTAACCACTGATGAAAGTATAAGTCTTCTGCTATGCTTTGCTCCACCCGTATTAGGCATTAATCGTGCAAGACAGGAACTCACTTCTGATGCTTTGTCATTTACTTGTTGTACCAGCTCTCTGAAATTTAGTCGGGCATAAAGCATCACTACCAAGTATCGAATATAAGATTGTGATATGATTTCTTGTTCACCGACTTTCAACTTCTCTATGATTTTTCTGCTGGTGATGAGTACTGCTTCCGTCTTCTGTTTAGCTTGTTGATGATTAGAAGAAACAAAAGTGACCTTAGCAATCACAATTATCTTTTGTTTATACGTCAATAAAATATTGTTTTATCTCTCGAGTTTACGTGTTCGTATTTTCCGATCAAATTAAATCATTATTGTAGTTAAACAGTGTTTTAATCGTTTATAAAATTAATATATAGTTCGTAAGACTATATAATTGGTGACCCCAACGTGATATGAACGCGCAACCTTCTGATTCAACTTATGATCTCGAGCTACTAGCCATCATTGCGGCCATAAAGTATTTTGAATACCTGCTAGAAGGAAGAGACTTTGTAGTCAAGACAGACCACAAGCCAATCACATATGCGTTTCAGCAAAGACCTGAAAAGGCGTCAGACAGGCAGCGTCGACTATTAGAATATATTTCACAGTACTCCACTGAAATTTTATATGTCAAAGGTGATGAAAACATTGTAGCAGGCACAATTTCAAGAATAAATAGAATAGAAATGCCAACTAAATTGTCAACTGTAGAAAAATTAAAACCCGCTTAGATAAACAAATTAGATACTAATTGTGGATCCAATTCTTATTCACATTTCAGGCAATCAGCAAGGAAATCTACGAAGAAGACTCCAAAAAAGAAAGTTACGTTTGATGACTATAACAGTATTCATCCAGCGATTCACTTGAACAAATGACGTATATCATCTAGGTGTTTCGATGACTAGAATTACATCGTTCGCATATGCCACTAACTTGACGCGTCTTGGAATCTTTAGTCTCAAAAGTCCGTCGTACATAACATTCCACAACTGTGGCCCAAGAACTGAGCCTTGAGGTACACCTCCGGTGATATTTATTTTTTCGTTCGAGTATCTTACCAGCCACGAACCGATTTACAAAACCCACTCGACTCAAATACATACGTTTCAATGGCAGGAGACTTTAACGCACAACATACATCTTGGAACTGTAACTACAACAATGCGAACACAATACCACGGACGCACAACTGCACTATCCTGGCACGCCGACCAGATACGCCGCTGTAGCGACTCATCATAGCACTAGATGATATTGACCAAAAATAGATTTGATATTGACCAAAAGTCTGCATGCAACTTACGAACCCACAGCAAGAACACTTTTCAACTCTGACCATAACCCTATGTTCATGACTATTTCTGACAAACTCGACGTCGACCAGACTCTGAACGTAAAATTCTAGATTACTCCAGAGCCACTTTTTGGAGACATCATTACAGACAACTTACGGCACACGATACCCATTGAGACCAACACAGACATAGAGGAGGCTGTGACACATCTGACACAGACGATCACGGATACCATTCAACACACAATACCGATAAGAGACACAAAAACAACATCATACCGCCACTTAAACTAGCCAACAACAAATACGCCACGACACCCGTAGACAATGCGAAACTATTTCGACGATTGGCTGAAAATCAATATTCAATATTCAATATTATATATATACAGTCGGTCAAGTAAGAGCGTGGCCGGGTTAATTCATAAAAATAATTATTTTATAAAACTTTAATATTTATATATGCATTGTATACGTTAAAAGCAAGGATGCAATTTTGGTCAATATGTGTCCAGTCACCACCGGAGTCGACAATTGCCTGGCATCTCCAACGTCTGCTTTTTACTAATTTAACGGATTATTTTAGTCCGACGGCTCGTATTTTAATTTAACGGCTCGATGAGGGCAGTACGTGCTCATATAGAACTTTCATCAATGAAAATGACATTTTCAAAATCTCTAACAATATTTTCATGTGCTCAAGCGGAAAAGAAGCACATGTTTTTCAGTCATCAGAGGCTTCCCCGTTGTGTTGCGCCATTTCAGATCATGGATACGAATAAAGGTTCAGATAGTTTTGTAGATATTTCTAAACATTTTGCCATTAATTTTGCTCGTCCTTGCTGCAGTGTTAAAGCAGGATTCCGCAAATACCCATTCACTGTTCTTTTTTCTTCTTTTTTATTTGAATCACGTTCTGATAAATCATCGACTTTTTTAGCAACTTTATATAGGTGTATCGAATTCTGTACAAATGCCTTCAACTTTCTCATATATTTAGCAGCAGCTGATTGCTACATTTGGGTACCTTTTAGGTGCATGCAAAAGGGCGCAGCCTCGTAGCGTGACGCGTAACTTAGCACTCATGGCGTTAATGTAATTTTTTCTCAAAAGATCAACTGCAACTAAACCTTTTTTGACAATGCATCAAGGACAAAGCTTCACTTTATTGACTCACGAAAGAATTAGACCGAAATCTTTCATTAACTGCCGTTAAAGTCGGCCACGCTCTTACTTGACCGACTGTATTGTCAGATTGCAATGATACTTTCAGATTGTACTATTCCATTTAAGGGGTTACTAGCTGACCCGGCAAACGCTGTTTTGCCATCAAAAATATTTTGCCGCATTGCAGAAGTTCTTATAATATACATGATATATTAATAATAATGTTATATTTTTATTACACAAAGGGTATGGGCGTGTTTCCATACAGAATTGGCCCCACCCTGGTATTTAAATAATTTTGATGCCATTTTATAGGTATTTTCGAGAAAATCCGATATACCAAATTTCAAATCCGTAGCTCATCATTTGGCCGAGATATCATTGAAAATGTGTGAAAGTGGCCCTTTTTTTCAAAGTCGTTTTTTGTCGCAACGGTGAAAGATATCAGAAAACAAATAACGGGATTATATTCATATCGATGTCTACTATATTTTTAATAACAAATATTGTTTAGTAATTATTTTTTAGTGGAGGAAAAAGTGAAAATAATTTTTCGCTTTGAATTTTCGGGTAGTGCGGTTGTTTGGACTAATTTTTAATTAGCATCATTAGAACGGGTATTCAATTTTTTATTAGTGTGCAAAATTTTGTTTTATTTCATGTGGTAGAACACATTCAAAATTAGAAAAAACCTGAGCAAGTACACGCTCGCGCTCATATAGCACCCGCGTAAGTCGTCTCTCATTCGCAACGACTAGCAACAGCATTGCTCGCCGCGCGTCTTGATAAATTAAAACATTTTTAATAAAACACAATATATATATATATATACATTTATATTTTGAATAATTATATATTTATATGTATATGTATAATAATAACTATATTTTTATATAATTAAATATATATTATATATTGCACAAGTATATTATATGATTTAATCATCATTAATAATTTATCAATTAATTATTACTTATTAATTAATTATTAATTATTATTTATTGATATTAATTATTAGTACCACTAAATAAATAAAAAATAGATTGATAAAAAATATACATAATAATAGTATATCGGTATATGATTACTATTCATGCTACAGCGCAATGTATGCAAATGCAAGTAGACTAAGTTAGTCATAAATATAATTAAATAATATCTTGAAGTTTTTTTTTAAATAAGATAATATATAAGAATATATTGAATAGAATATCTCAATCTATAAATACTCATAATAATTATTGAACTACTGCACTATTGTGTATCATCCTTAATTGAAATATTTGAAATTTCGCGGCATTATAATTATATATTGCATTGTGGTGATAACTAAATTATATAAAATTGAATTGACACTAAAATACAAGAAAAGTGCAAAATCAAATGGTACAAAGGTGTAGAGCACACAAAAATTAAAAAGAGCATTATTTATTTAATAATTATCAAAAACTTCGTGATTAGTTAAATTCCAAAATTATATTAGTTTTATGCAGTCTGTATTTTGTTATCTTATGTGTGGTTTTTGTGGGCAAAATTTCAAATATTTTAATTAAGGATGATACACAATAGTGCAGTAGTTCAATAATTATTATGAGTATTTATAGATTGAGATATTCTATTCAATATATTCTTATATATTATCTAATTTAAAAAAAACTTCAAGATATTATTTAATATATTTATGACTAACTTAGTCTACTTGCATTTGTATACATTGCGCTGTAGCATGAATAGTAATCATATACCGATATACTATTATTATGTATATTTTTTATTAATCTATTTTTATTTATTTAGTGGTATTAATAATTAATATCAATAAATAATAATTAATAATTAATTAATAAGTAATAATTAATTGATAAATTATTAATGATGATTAAATCATATAATATACTTGTGCAATATATAAATAATATATATTTAATTATATAAAAATATAGTTATTATTATACATATACATATAAATATATAATTATTCAAAATATAAATGTATATATACTGTGTTTTATTAAAAATGTTTTAATTTATCAAGGCGCGCGGCGAGCAATGCTGTTGCTAGTCGTTGCGAATGAGAGACGACTTACGCGGGTGCTATATGAGCGCGAGCGTGTACTTGCTCAGGTTTTTTCTAATTTTGAATGTGTTCTACCACATGAAATAAAACAAAATTCTGCACGCTAAAAGAAAATTGAATAGCCGTTCTAATGATGCTAATTAAAAATTAGTCCAAACAACCGCACTACCTGAAAATTCAAAACGAAAAATTAATTTCACTTTTACCTGCACTAAAAAATAATTACTAAACAATATTTGTTATTAAAAATATAGTAGACATCGATATGAATATAATCCCGTTATTTGTTTTCTGATATCTTTAACCGTTGCGACAAAAAACGACTTTGAAAAAAGGGGCCACTTTCACACATTTTCAATGATATCTCGGCCAATTGATGAGCTACGGATTTGAAATTTGGTATATCGGATTTTCTCAAAAATACCTATAAAATGGCATCAAAATTATTTAAATACCAGGGTGGGGCCAATTCTGTATGGAAACACGCCCATACCCTTTCTTTACATTTTGATAATTAATTCGAACGCATCATAGTGCTTTGTTTATTTTCATTTTATTTATGTCAAATATTGAAATATTTTTAATCAATGAATAAATTAGATTTTAGTCTGAATCATCGCAGTACCATTATCTAAATATATAATTTTTATATAAATATCAGATTTTTTACTTTTGCATTTAATTTAAAAATATTGAATATCAATTTCATATATCCAATATGCACTAAATTTTTAAATGCCAAAATATTTCCTTTTTGGTTCGAAATTTAATATAATATGATATAATTTATATCTATAATTTGATTGCCAATATTGCCTATAACATAACTTGGAATAATTAATTTATTTGTATCTTATTGAAGTCGTTAAAAATTCATTTTTTTTTTGAACTGTCAGAATAATTAATTTATTTGTTTCTTATTGAAGTCGTTAAACATTTTTTTTGTGAAATGTCAAATTTTTGTTTATGATTAATTTTAAATTCAATATGTAGCTTTTTTATTGTGATCTCTGATCTATAAGGTTTTGATGAAGTTTTGGTATCCGAAATAATTTGGTAAGCTAATCAAATAAATATTATTTATTTATATTATTAAATTTATTTAATAAATTGTAAATCTATTTATATAATTATTTTCATAAATATTGACAAATGACATTTGACGATTTTCATGTCAGCATTTATTCAAATTTATAAACATTGATTTTTAATTAGATTTAAAACTATAAATTGTGATTTTGAATATAGAATTTCATCTAATTTGGATATAAATGTTGGGTATATCTATATATGTACATGCTTTTGACTTATATTTTTTGAACCGTCAAATTTTTTGTTCAAAAATCATAAATCTTTTTTCTTGAATTTTCCTTAAATTTTAACATTTGTCATTTTAGTGTTTTGTTTTTTTTGGCCATTTTCTGTCAAAATTTTGAGAAATTTATAAAAATTATATATTTGTATTTTGAATTTACTTTTCAAAATTTCCTATAACCTAAGTTGGATATATATGCACACGATGAGCCAATAAAATTTAAAATCGGTCCAGTAGTTTGGGCGTCCATATATATATATATATATATATATATATATATATATATATATATATATATATATATATATAGATATATACAGGGCCGGGTCCTACTTTGAATGGGATGCATGCGAAAAACGCCTTAGGGAATGCAATACCGGTATACCGCCTAATTTTTCGGAGGTATTAATACCGGTATTTATTATAAAATAGTTTATACATCATGCACTCAATTTCAAATTTCTCGGAACAAATTTATCTTTAATTAGTGATTCTATTGTATAAATATGTCAAATAATGTCAAAATATTATCTATAAAAATATTTATTAGATTGAATAAATAATTAATGGCCTCATTGTATATAAATGTCACACATGCGCCTGACCGTTAAATATCATACACAAACATATTCTTTGAATATTGAGAAGAGTTATGCGGGGTCCGGCACTCGAAGTGTAACCAACTGAAAAAGCCATAAATTCAGTTTGGAAGATTACTTTTACTCGATTCAAAGTAAAAAATGTGTAAAAATAATTCAAAATTTTAAAAAAATTCACTTTTGCTCGATTTGACCACCTTTTACATTATATATACATTAATACTACATACATTCACGCGTACATTTATTTTTGATAATGCATGCCAAAACGTTCAGAAAACGTTAAAACATAAACGTATGCACAAGTTTTCATTTTCTACTACTCTAAAGGAAATCAATTAACATGCTGCGTATGTAAAAAAACGATGATTCTCACCTTTCCCGTCGACTGAAGAATTGTAGTTCTTGTTCTCCATTGCCTTTCGCGACTAATAATATCTTTAGTTGAATCTACATCGTACTCCAATATGACTCGATAGTCATTTGTTACTCCTAATGTATCCGTATCGTCCTTAGTTTTTATAGTTGTGCGTTTCTTCGCCAATCTCTTTGCTTTGATTGCAGCGATGCGTTCAACAGACATAGTCTCAGACAGAGATCTAGCAAATAAAACATAGTGGTTAAAATAGTAGTACTACATCCAGTGCTGGATTTACAATAGGGGCAATCGGGGCTACTGCCCAGGGCGGCAAATTTTTGGGGGCGGCAAAATTTGGATAGTGAGAAAAAAATTCTATGCAATATAATCACCTTTTTTATAAACATTTTTTATTTCAAGAAATATAATCAACAAAACATAATACGATTGCAATGCAAAATTTGGTTTGAAATAACTGACTATTAAAATTTATTATTTTGCCTTGCCTCTCTCTCCGAACGTAAATTATTAAATTGGTTAATAAGTCATCAAATTTGGCAATTTGGCAATTTGGCAATTTGGCTAATATAAAGATCCGTAAACAAGCTGAAAGTTTAAGAAAAATATTTTCTTCAGTTCTCCAGCCCTCTTAAAATGACGAATTTGTGCACTTCCAAGTTTATAGCGTCGAAAAAAAAATTTAAACTAATGACGCATAGCGTTGTGCCTTAAGACAAATAATTGAAACATCCCGCACTGTAAATTACATTTTATAAAGAGCTTTAAAATTTTTGGAAAATGAAAAAAAATGACTTTTAAAACACATTTTTTGTATTTTGAAATTTTTTGAAAATTATGAACTTTTTGCAAAGCAATCGCGCTGCGTAGCTGTTTTAGAGAAGAAATATCGAAACTCAATTACCATTTTTCGTAATTGCCTGTGCCGAAACAGTATCTTCAAAACAGTTAGACCTGCCTTGGCCAATAACTAATCAGCACGTCTCCCCATCAATACAAATCTAATATTTTTTAATTATTCAAGTCGATTTCGAGAACACGGATCAACCGATTTAAATGATTCAATTCCTATTGATAAGGAGACGTGCTTATTAGTTATTGGCCAAGGCAGGTCCAACTGTTTTGAAGATACGGGCAAAAATGCCAAAAATGATAATTCAGTTTTTGAGAAAAGAAACGTCTAATATAATTCAAAACAATTTACAGAATAAATAACTGCTTGAATTTATGGGATGCAGGTTTAGCGGTTTCGATGTTTCAAAAAAATTGAAAAAGAAACATTTGGTGAACAAAAGTGATCATAAGACATATGCACATCAAATTATCAGATATTTTAAAGGTATTTTAATAATAAGTATAAATGTTGTTTATATTTATATGCGTTCTGTAACATTGTTTATCCGTTAGACTGCGACGCGACGCTTACGCGCTCCTATATTTTGTCCCTACGCAGCTGAAGCAGCGCGATTGCTTTAAAAAGTTCGAAAATTCGTAAAATTTCAGGCATGGGGCGGCATTTTTGTCAGTGCCCCGGAGCGCCAAATTTCTAAATCCGGCCCTGAGTACATCGCACAGTGTCCTGAATCAAATTACTGGAACACCGAATCCTAATTGAACATTCGAGGAATAAAAATAATCAGATAAATGGAATCGAGGAATAAAATAATCATAATAATTAAAAGTTCAAACATTGTTTTAAATATTCTGAAATAGATTATTATCAGTGCCATAAAATTTATGAGTGATTATTACGTTTTTTGTAAACTTAAAAATTGAAAATTTAGAACACTTTCAAAAATTGTATACTTTCAACTTTGACAAAACTTTTATTTTAAATGTTGGACTGATTTCTCAAAAAATAATCATTACTTCACAATGTCAACACAAGCAAATGTTTTTTGAATCACTCTAATCAGATAATCAATTCTCTCAAAACCTGCATCGCAGCCTGCAGCAAAAACTAAACAGTACGTCACTCAGTCCCTCCCTATAGAAGTATAGACCGAATATTTTTTGAATCATTCAGTCGATCGAAAATGTCATAGACATTTGATTCAACCATGAACTTTAAAAACTAAAAATTTGGTACGGAAACAAATATAAATGAAAATGAATAATTAGTAAATTACTAATAAAATTCCTATAAAATATGCGATAATTTGATTTGCACATGATCATGATCGCATTGATCATTTTCGACCAAAAAAATTGCGTTTTTTTCTGGAACTCTGAAACAGCTGCACCCGAATATTTAGTCAATTCTTCATTCCGTTGATGCAAGTAAAATGTTTTTTGAATCACTCAAATCTGCCGCTCCGTTCTCTCAAAAACTGAATTGCCATTTCTGACTAGTGTTGCCACCTATTTTTGGAACGACTTCGGCAAAACCTAATCTGCACGTCCACCGAGCAATAGGAATCGAATGTTTTTGAATAATTCAAATCGGTTAAGGGATTATATATAAATAGGATTTTCCAAAAATAGTTTTTTTTTCTGAATGTACATATATTTAAGTCTCATATAAGATCTCTCATATGAGCCTGAAATAGACGACTCCATGTTTTAGTTGAAAAAAAAAATATCCCATGTAATTTGCTTTCCAAACTTTAAAGCTAAAGGTGTTTTTCTCGAAATTGTGTTTTCAAAATCGGTGACCAACATAACTCGAAAACGGCTCAACCGATTGGTCTAGAATTTTAACACGAGCTTCTTAAATATATATTTTTGAGTAATTAATCGATTTTCTGATCGAATAAATGTTTTTTGTTTTTATAAACAAGTTAAGGTAAAAATTTCGAAATAAAATGTTTTTTTTAAGAAACCACCAAAAATATTATTTTGCTTATTCCTTCGATTAATTACTAGATTTATCATTACTTTAATCTGTTTGGTTTTTTATTTCAGATGATTTACTTCAGAGATAAAGTGGTCACCGCAAAACGTGTTTTTCGAGAGAAGCCTTCGGAGATCTGCAGTAACTTTTTTTAAATAAATATTTTTACTCGTAATTATTTTTAAACCATAGCTGTTAATCAATAGATTGAATAGTTTTCTCAGAAAACAATATCAAATAATATCAAAAAATCGCTTTTCGGCCTTAACTTTGACCCCTTGGGCTGTGCTCTCAAAATCGCCGACAAAAAAATGTGTCCGCATACACACACGAACACACAAGACCATACATATAATTTCAGGGTAAAGTTATAGTAATCATCGAAAATTTTTGCATATATTTATGTTTCAGAGGTTTCTGAACATTTTGGCATACCTTAAAAAATGGAAGGGTGTATGTGTATATGTGTGTGTACCTGTATGCATGTGTGGATACAATTTTTCGTCGACGTGAGTACCACTCAAAGGATTTAAACTGTTCAAAAAGCATTGATAAGGAGACGTGCTGATTAGTTTTTGGTGAGGTTAGTCCAGCAGTTTCGAAGATACGAAAATTACAAATACGAAATATTTGATACGAAGTATAAAGAGTGCAAAAAATTGCAATTAGGTTTGTGTGAGAGTGTACGATTTGAATTATTCAAAAAACATTCCACATCGGACATCTAGAAATGCCATTTGGCTGTCGAAAATCAGAATGGACAGTCTGGATCAAAAACATTCAAGAAATAAATAGGTTTCAAAAACTTTCAAGATATTTCACAATTTTTAAAAGAAAAATTTCAATTCCAGTTTTCAAAAAAAAATTTAGAAGTATCTTCAATAAAGGCATCTTTTCCAATTTTTAACTTCCCGTAGGGTAAGTTATAGTAATCGCAAAAAAATCGAAAATGAAAATTTTTGCATATCTTTACGTTTTAAAGGTTTCTGAACATTTTGGAATATCTTAGAAAGAATGAATGGATGTTTGTGTGTGCGTTTGTATGTATGTTTGGATACAAGTTTTCGACCACGATTTCTGGCGCACGAATCAACCGATTTGAATAATTCAAAAAACATTCTATTCCTATTGATGGGGAGTGCTGATTAGTTTTTAGCGAAGACAGGTCCAACAGTTTCGAAGATACCGGGAAAAAAGTGCCAAGGATGGTATTTCAGTTTTTGAGGTAACGAGGCACGCAATTTGAATGATTCAAAAAATATTTTAGTATTGACATAAACAGATATGCCTAAAAACTAATCAGCGCGCCTCTTTATCAATACGAATCGATTTTTTTTTTAATTTTCAAATCGGTTATTTCATACTGTCGAAAATGTCGAGGACATTTGTTTGCTATAGAATCCAAAAAAATTACACAAAATGTGAACACATTATTAAAATCTCTATAAAATATCTAATAATTTGATGCACATATGTCCAATAAACATTTTTAACCGCCAAATGGCATTTTTTTAACTTATTTTCATTGAGAGTCCACAACCGCTAGACCTGCCTTTCCAAAAACTTGAACAGTTGTTCGTTTAGTCAATATAAATAAAATGTTTTTGAATTATTCAAATCGGACGCTTCGTGTTCTCAAGAATTGAATTACCATTTTTGATCCTTTTTGGCCCGTATCTTCAAAATGGCTAGACCTGCCTATGCCAAAAACTATTCAGCACGTCACCTTATCTATACAAATCGAATGTTTTTTAAATTATTCAAATCAGTTGATCCGTATTCCCGAAATTGACGGAAATTTGTATCCACACACACACACATCCATTTTTTAAGGTATGCCAAAATGTTCAGAAACCTTTGAAACGTAAAGATATATAAAAAATTTCATTTTCGATTTTTTGCGATTACTATAACTTACCCTAAAAATTATAATAATTACTTGATATTGTCAACAGCCACTGAGGTTTCCTTTTGAGCTTCCAATCTGGCGGCAAGCTGCTCACGCACCTTCTGAACATGCGGGTTCTCATATCTAGCTTTCTTTGATAGCGCGTCATTTCCAGTTGATTCCAAAGGACGTTTGACCTGAATTAAAACAAAAATGAGATTATTAAAGTGACTTATGATGTTCAATAACGCTCTCTTATGCTTGTTCTTGGTATTGAAAATTATGAAAATGTTTTTCTATTTGCTGTGCAATCAGGTGTATTTTACATATAAACAAGCAAAGTATAATGTTATGATAACAGAATTCTAGATGGTGTAGTTATCATTCGCATAAGATGAAATCGTTATCATAAGATTTGTCTCATCGTCAGTGTATTATAATTTAAAATTTAAGATATGAATATTTAAAATAACATAATGTGTTAACTCTTCCAACTTGTTGTTCTTTACTAAATGCAAGTGTCTTAAGAACTGTACTCGACTGAACGACTGAAGGTCATTTTGGTGAGTCATGCAATATCAAATAGGAATGAGAAGGAATAGGGCCCAGTTGAAAAATAGATGTCGCTAGTGTATAATTTTTTTTATAGAAAATCGTTTGTTTTAAGTAGAGGTTAACTAAATTATTGAAGTTCTTAGGTTTAACATTTGCAACAGTTCCTTTGTTAAGGGTTATAATTTCTTATTCTGTTGGTATCATTTCTTCGTATATCACATAATTTCACAGACCGCAGGCTGATGCAGAATTCGTATATTGGACAGAAATTTAAGGTTAGTGAACTAGGAAGATACAAACAGTGTTGAAATAGGTAGAGGAACGCGGCAAAGATGCTGCATCCGATCATATTCAACCTGTATGGAGAATGGCTCGTCAAACAGGCACTCGAAGACACTGGAAATTTTTCGATCGATGGAAGAAAATCTAGTGGTGATATCGAAAATCCAATCCAAGCTGCATGATGAGCAGAATTGTCAAAGTGGGTAGAAAATACGGAATGGAAATCAACATAGGCAAGTCGAAAGTGATGAAAATCACGAAACCCGAGATAATTCCCCTAGGATAACAGTAGGAAATCGAGAATTAGAAGTCTTGGATCATTTCAAATACTCGGAAAGCATCCTGACCAGAGATGGACACTGCACGAATTAGACCAGGAAAAGAATTGCAAGCGCCAAGGCGGCATATAGGAAGAAGAGAAAACGCTACTGACAAGCTAACTACCAGGAGGGTTTTGTGGTCCAGCACCAAATAGAGAAGATAAAATGGACAGACAAGATAAAAAATGAAGTCCTGAGAAGAATGGGCAAAGAAAGGACTCTACTGAGCACGATCCTGAAAAGGAAACTGAATCGTACCCGTCCGACTAAAGAGTGCCTGTTACACAACGTAGTCAAAGATAAAAAGGACTGAAAAGAATTATTTATGATTGATGACTTATGCGAGAAGAGAAAAAAACAGCGAAATAAAAGTCGAGACGCAGAATCTGGAAGCAATGAACACTTTCATTTATTATTATTGTTATATGCACTGTGCTTTAACAGGTGTTGACAATAATTTACTACCAGTTTTCTAAGCTCTAAAAGATGGTTGATAAAAAAACACCTGCACTATGCACCACTAATTTAGCTGTGCTTTTGGACTTTAGCATGCTTTCTGAATATGGATAAAATTCACCTGCACTATGCACCACTAGTTTTGCTGCGCTTTTGGACTTCACAATGTTTGCTGTCAAAAAAGAAAATGACGTCACACGCGCCCTGCATGTTGCCCTCATGCTGGATTTGCAAGTTAGAACGTACGTTATTTTTGTGGATGATGGATTCGTTAGATCGAAGCACTAGGAAAGCAATATTTTGACTTGTGGTTCATCATATATAAAAATCTAACAACCATGCTAGATTCGGGCTTACTGATATAAGTCAATGATCCATCCACAAAAATAAAGCACGTTCTAACTTGCAAATCCAGAATGTCGGCAACAAGGTGGGCGCGCGCGACCTCATTTTCCATTTTTTGCCTGATTTTTTTCTTCACAACCATTCAACAATTTCAAGCCAAGATTTAATTTTAGGTTAAGCACGTGACATATAGCATTGACGGGAGTGTTACACGATTGTCGGCAATGCTCGTTCACTAAGTGACATCACGGTTCCCTTCTATCTTTTAACACTTATTTTGCGTTCGATCAGCAGTCCGCGTAGTGTAAGGTCTATGAACAAGGGTCGTGTAATACGGGCTTTATCATAGATAAGAGAAGAGTATATATAGGCTTTATATTACATTTGTCATAAAACGCCCAAAAAATTTTGACACTTCAAATTTTAGTGCATACAATACATATTGTTTATATTAATTTAACATTCACTAATTTGAGATAAATTGAATGCAAATGAATGAAAAATTAGATATTTATGTAAAAAAATATTTATTTCGACAATTTTCTGCGTCGATTTTGCCAAAAATATAAATTTAAATTTTATATAATTTATTCATTGCTGACTTAAAATAATTACTAATTGATAAAAAAAATAAAATTAATATTTAGATATAATTCGTCGTTTAATTATCGTCGTTTAATTATGGATTTTTCTTCGACATAAACAAAATTATAATAAACCAATTGTTGATAGTTCATAGAATCAATGTTTTGTCTAATTCAAAAAGAAATATATTCTAATATATCCAACTTAGGATATTGGCAATATTATAAATCCCTCTCTATTTTCAAAATATTAAAATTTCAGATATTTCAATAAGTTATGACAATTATGAATTTTAAGAAAATTAAACGCTGCATAATTTAAAATCAAAATATTATATTACATTTGTCATCAATTGTACAAATATAAATTGACAGTCAAATATTTTTGGACAATTCAAAAAGGAACAAATATATTCTAATATATTTAAATAAACTAGAGTGTGTCAAAAATCAGATATTTATGAAAAAATCTCAAAAATGTGTATTGATGTTATAATAGATAATATAAATCTGAAGTTATAAGTATATATATATTATAATTTTAAAAATTCATAAGAGTAATAAATAAATTATTTAAAAACACATCGACGTTCACAGAAGACTAATAAATAATTCTTGAAAAGATTGCAATATACTACATTTTGATAAGAGTATATGTTGGAAAATGTTTCAGGCCTGAAAACCGACTGTCCATTTTTATAATTAATTAATTTAACTAAAAATATTTAGTTAAGCGTAATTGCTGAAATCTTGCCAGAAGGATTATTTAAGTATAAAATGCTAATGTTGATATAAATTCCATGACTACTGGAAACCAAGTTTAATCCATTTCTCATGTCGTATAAACTTTCAGATGACAATTTACCAAATGATGTCCAACATACTATTAAATTATTTATTAAATTACAGAAGTGTTGCACAACAAGATATGGATGTGTGCCTGCCCTTGTTCGATTGATTTAAAAGTATTCTACAATGTCATGAAAATTTAATACTACAATTCAGTGAATATGTGAACAAATGGAATTATATGGCAGTGATTGGAATGGAAAATATAACTGTATCAAACAATTAAGTCTCCAAATACCAACTGGTGCGCTATAGTAGTAATGAGACTACATAGCATATTTTATCATTTTTCATTCATTAGCGATATCCACATCTTTTATGAGAGAAAACTTATATGCAGAGACAGTCTCACTACTGCCAATAATATTAACTGAATTTTTCACATTAAAAATGATACATTTGCAAACACACAACATTTTACTTTGAAGTACAAACTTCTTTTCTGCAGAATACATCAATAAGAAAATTTCACCATAGTAAACAAGGTATAGCAGTACAAGAACACCTAAATAAATATTCAACAGCTGGACTTAAAAATAAGTTTTAAAAAAAAAAACAAAAAATGAATTATAAGCTGTTTAGATTCGAACTGGGTTACTTTCAACTCTCTTATCCACAAATCCAAATGCAAACTTAGGAGCGAGAGCCTTAACGAGCACAGCTATGAGGATATATATCGATAAGGAACACTATTATGCGCAATCTAGTTTTTGCCACTTTAATTAATTTTCATAATTAAACTGCTTCTCAAAGGCCTATAATATTTTAAAAGTTTCGGTTTGACTATCAACTTTATCACCATGCAAAGTTTCATTAAAATCCTGGAAGAGTAAACTTGAGGGTTCCCTTCATAGTCAATATATTAATTTATTATAGATTTATCAAAATACTTAAGTCAGACGAGAAGGATAATAAAAAGTAATTAATGTGATACTAAACTTGAAATATCTCACTTATGCAATATTATAAATTTTAATGGCGCAAGTTAGAGACAAACTGTATAAAAAATAACATATGTAATATTACTAATTTTCAATAAGTAAAGTTTTTTATGAAAAAAGTAATTATCACTTGAGAATGTTTTTAATACTAGATATACAGCGCCAGTCAAAATGACTGGTTGGGCACTTTCAATTCAAAATTCCCATTATATATAACATTTGTTTTGTGAAATGAAGTTACGACTTTTTAAGTTATACGTATAGAAATCATTTTATGCATTCAAAGTTACTTTATACATATTAGTAACAAAAATAAATTGTGTTACTGCTACTTATAGCAGCACCAGTCAAAATGACTGGTGCAAGTTTCTATAGAAAATGTTTGATGAAATAATCGAAATAATAATAGACATAGATCGTATGCGTTTATCGCCTACTCTCTTATCGACGACAATGTATATTATTTATTCTTTATTCTTTTTTACATCGTAAACATGCAGATTGCTGAACTATTACTAGATTTTGACCAACAAAACAATTGTTTCAAGTTCGTTCAACACGCTAAATAAAATTTTATTCAAAGTGATTTTCAAGTATAATTATTTATTCTTTTTGTACCCTGATACAAGTAAGTAACATTCGCGTGCATTCAGATATTTGCAAAAATATGTGCTTGAGTAAAAAAAATACGATAAACGAAAAAACTGTCATGGTTCCGACTTATTTTTATAGCGATTGTCAGTCTTGGAAAAAAGAATGGAAAGAATGTTTTTTTAGCTTGTTTGGAAAATACAACCAGTAGATCTCTGAAATGTTTGGACCTAGGATTTGAAATATATGATAGTGACGGTGAATTTTTAGATAAACAAATCAATCCACAAGGAAGTGCTATTATCGACTATAGAGATGGGAAAATTTCGTGATAAAGACAATACAGATGGATCAAGTACGTTAGTAAATGGATAAATATCACAAACAAACATATGAGACGATGCGAGTCACTTTCTTTCAATTCTGAAGACGAATTTGGAAGTAATGCACCAAATCAGGAAACTAAAATTAGTTTGGACAAAACTATTTGGACAAGACTTGTAGTAAAGGGAAATAGGTTTTGCAGGTAGATTACAAGTTCAAAGAGCTTTCGGATACATACTCAGGCCAAATTTATAGAAAAAAGCGCGGTTTTGGAAGAAATTGCATTTTCCAACAAAGGCCAGAAGCATATTTGGCTAGTAAATGCCAAAGAAACTTTATAAATTTGCATAAAATTCTGACTGACATCTGATGTAGAAGAAGAAAAATAAACCCCTCTAAGCGAATTTGTAGTAATGAAACTTAATCAATATTATTTTTCAATTATTCTTATGGCATTGAAATTAAAATCTAAAAACACGTTGTTAGCTGTAACTTTTTTGCACAAATAAGTGGGTGCTGTCGTACACTTTTATTGAGTATTGTGCTAAAGTACTGTAAAAACTATTAAAAATCAATAAATTTTGTTATTTGACAATATCTATAAGTTTATTTAATAGCTGTAATTAGTTTTGTTCAACTTAAAAACACAATAAGTATGTTTTCTCAGAGACCAGTATTTTGACTGGTATTGGTAGAAATAGGTATTATGGTATATCTAGTGTTAAAAAATATCCTCATAAAACTGGAATAAATATAATGTAAATGTAGCAAAAACAAATAAACATCTTACTTGTGTCGGAATTTCAAGAGGAGCGCTTTTGTCAATGGATGCACATGTGGCTGTCTCTCCATTTAGGTAAGCTAATAATTCCTTTCTGTCTGGACGACGTACAGCAAGAATATTTTCAGCCTAAAGAGGTCGAATTGTTATACGAGTTCATAAATGTCATTAAAATAGAATAGATATGATACTAACAGCCGCTTGTCGCACATATACAGGATGAGAGAGGTTTATATTCCTTAATATAAACAACAGACACTCTAATGTATAATATTCCTTTACAGCATTTCCTTTACCAGTGCTGAAAAATTAAATAGTTTATATCTTTCTTGCATTTATTGTACAATCAAAACAATTACACGTTGCTTTTCGCTACTTACTTGTAAATTAAATAATTTGTTTTCACATTTTTTGGCCATGAAAATTCACCAAAGATGATCTGGTTGTCACGTTCTATAACTTCTTTCTTATTAACATTATATTGCCGTAACAAACTGAGCGGATCTGCCATGTCTGTCGGCAAACAAACAATAAGCACAAAATATATATTATTTAAACAATACAATGGCTCCTTCGAAAAGACAATATATAATTACAGACCGCTTTAAATACAAAGCCTCTAATATAAAAATACAAAGTGTCGGAGTGGCTTGTCAAATGAGAATAACGAAATATGACTGTCAATACCAGACCAGCCAACTCAAAAATAGCAAAAAAGTGATACAGCCGTCTTCCACGCAGACGTGAGGGCGCTGCTTTGGGCATTCAAATTAATGGCGCAAAATTTGAAATGAAAATTAATGAATTTTAAAAATAGGGTATTTGAAACTAAATTTGACATTACAATTGCATTATCTTTTTTAATGATACATTAATAACAAAAATATACTAGATAATATTATCTGATATATAAAAATGAACCAAAAATGTATTGGTAAGCGCCAATTAGCGTTTTCTGAGGTGTGCCAAAATGTTCAGAAATCTTTGAAACGTATAATTATAAAAAATTCTCATTTTCTATTTTTTTGCGATTACTATAACTTACCCTAAGGGAAGTTATTTAAATTGACAAAGGATAGGGCGGCACAAATATCCAATTTGACTTTCAGTAATTAAAGTAATGCCTAACCAAATGAACTATCTGCAACATATAACACGTATCGAACAAGCAACTTTCTATGGCCGGTAATCTCCGAACAAATGCTTATTAATCTAGGCAACTATCTTATTATATTCAAGAAAATCTCCATATAATTCCTAATTTTAGAAATGTTTTTTTACTATTTCTCAAAAATTTGTCATGTTGCTCTTCTTACTGTATAGGTGGGGTAAAATGGGGCAATCAGGCGGAAAATAGATCCAATGTCTTGTATTCAATTTAAAGATATTTTACGAAATTAGAGCTACATTATTCAACAAATGCAAAATATAATTGTTTTTGGGTAACTTTTTTACATAGATAGCACTGAATATAACATCGATCCTGTATATTGTCAGAATTCTGATTCCAACTCTGCTAATGAATATTTATAAATTAATTTATAAAAACTATTGAACATAACTTAAAAATAACAATACATCGTATGAAAGAATTAAAAAAGCTATATATACTTAAACGTTATATTAAGGTCTCATAAAGTAAACTGTGAAAACAACCAAAAAAAAGTAACAACAAAAATACTTTTGATTTTCAAATATTGCCGTGTATCTCCTGATAACAAGTCGTAAGAACCAATTGTGATGGCTGGATATACATCTTTTGCCCTCTACTATCAAATATTATTAAAAAAATACAAATTTTATTTGTTTATGAGATATCCTTGTAGGCCTTTTTACAAGCGGATCTTTAAGCCACACAAATGCAAATGCATTTTTTAATGCAATCAGTAATTTTTGTTTGATTTCTTTACTTCATTATTGTAAAAAACAGTTTCTGATGCTATTGTGCACAAGAGACAGCAATTGCTATGATAGACTCGGAATCATGTAAAATCATGTTGGTTATTATAGCAGAAAATATTTTTTTTTTTAAATGGGTCATAAGCAAATTCAATATATCCAAGTGTTAAGGAATTTATATTAAAAATTAAACTTTATAGTACGATAACATCAATAATGTAAGTGGCCGGTCAATATATCTATATATACATGTAATATGTGGCATATCTTGGATTGGGTAATCCAGTTTTTTAGAAAATCAAATATTTTTGAATTAATTTATTCAAAAAATTAGAGAGTTGTATCACAATAAAAGCTTCTTACAAGTACATTTATTAGTACTGAATAAAATACTAATTCAAGCATAATTTTCTTCTTATATGCTAAAAATAAAAGAATTTCCAGTAATTTAATTTTACCGGTTTATTTCAAAGTAATATAAACATTTATATATTTAGAAGTCATTTATGCCTCATTCTCTGCTTTGAGCTTCTGAAGCCATGAAGCTTTCTTTTGGGCAACGCGATTCTTGCGTTCAGAGAGTGAAAGTTTAGCCCGGTTCCAACGTTTCACCTTGACATCAGCTGCCTTCATTTTATCTGCAGGTTTCAATGAAGGATCAGCTCTAATGGCCGCATGGGCTTTCTTGTATAGCTCTTCAATCTGTAATAAAAGTGGGATATAGTAATAGTTAACAAAAATACTATTTCTTTAAGTTAAACTGATAAACTATTGCATGGATTGAAAAATCCAGTCACATGTAGTTTACCATATTTTAATGTGTTCATGTATTGTATTTTGTACCCAAATTCTGAGTGTGTTACATGAAATTTAATGTAGTCCAACTGCGACACTACAATTGAATATAAAAGTAGTAATTTTAAGTTGGACGTATACACATAACTAAGGCAAATGTTTTTAGGACTAAATCTTACATTATCAGCAGTAATTCCAAGACTGATGTATTTGCTAAATTGACGTTTGAATGCATCTTCATCTTCCTCTTCAAGAGATTTCATGTAGTCAGCTACATGTTTTCCAAAGATGTGAGCTCTAAAAGTAAAGAGCATTTATAAAAATGCTTATTAAATTTTTTTAATTAAATTTGATTGATGTTAGAACATTTTCCAAAAATATATGACAAGTAATCATATAAAGCTAGAAAAGATCTTGTTGCTATGCCAAAGGTTTATTTCACAAAAATGAATTTCATTAATGTGTACTCAACACTTTGGGGAAGAGGCATTAGGTATTGAAATCAAAATAGTTTCAGCACTAAGAAACTTTTTGTAATTGGTGCATAAAATAAATTCATTTGAAACACTTCACAATTAATTAAGTAATATATGAAATGAATGCACAAATTCTAATTAAAAATTTTGTTTCTTACCTGTGCACTTCAGCATTGAAGCTTTTGCTTTCAGCATCATAACCTGGGAAACGCTTAGTGGAGTGTGGAATATTTAAGCCACCATCAACAGCACCCTTCATGGCTCCGAACACACGAGCACCAGTGGTTGTACGTGCTAAACCAACATCTAAGTAGCAACGGAAAGCAGCTGGTCCATCATCCAGAGCTTCAACATTGTACTCTTCGCCTATACAATAAATTTAATTAATTGTAATGATTTAAACATCATATTTAAAAACATCAATTAAAAAAGTGAAATCACTGTCAGAATCACCGAATAGTTTTAAAAGATGTTTTGAAGTTCATTTATTCTAAAATAATCGCCCATTCCTGAAAACCCGTGGAGATTAAATCTGATATATATTGGGATACACAGATATGTGATCACTATTATATATGCATAAATATAGTATAGAACATAAGGTAATTTTTCTAGAATTGTTCAATTGATAATAACTAATTTAGTGTAATTGTATTACCTGTTACTTCAGTACAGCCACCATATAAATTATCCAAGCCGAACTTTTGTAAGAGCCTTCGAGCCAAAAGCAAGCCTGTGCAATATGCTGCAGCGTAGTTAGTTAAACCTACTTTGATACCATACTTTGGTAATTCATGTGAATAAGCAGCGCACACAATCTTGTCTCCTTCAATTCTGGAGTAAGCAACTTGACAGGTGATATCTTTGTTCGAAAGGCGCACGATCAGTCGATACTTAGGAGTGTTATATTTGTTTTTGTCCTGTACTGTAAGACGCTTACGAGCATAGTAATCGGTCTTACCATCACGACGCCTTTTGAATTTTACTTGGTAGCGCTTGAAGTACTGCTTGTTTTTCACTACTTTCACGAAACCCTTAAAATAAAATACAATTGTTAGATTTCAAGAAAAAACTGAAGCAAATATACGTGACAATATGCAAAATCAGAGACACTTCATAATCAATGTATCGTCTAGGATAGTTTGAACAGGTTACTGCTAATAACCATAAAACATGGTTAAAGCACCCTGAACAAACGCACCTGCCGATCAGATGACGCGCATGTGTCTTAAAATCATCATAGAATTACAATATAAGATTAAATAACTGAACATACAACATTTTATACATATCACAATTCTAGTAACACATTTGTTCATGTACATAACCAAACATCATCTTTCGCCATCGAATACAATTTCACACAATTATCCCTCACGCCAATATTTACATATTAAAATAATTGTAATAATAATATTTTAATAATTATTCGAAATACAACTCACCATTTTCGGTAAATATTTGAGAGAAGAACTGTGATAAAAGCAACTCTGGCAGCTTAGCCAGACGGAAAGAGAAATCAGCTATATCACATAGCCAACATTGTATACAATGAAAATGAAGTAAAATTTAAAAAAAAGGGCAGGCAACACAACGCGACAGAAAGTTACTAGATACATACATCAATTTCGAACGCTTAGATAAAAAAGGATATAAATAAGTAAAAATTAACATAAATTTAAATAAAAAAGAGAAAGAGTACAAAATAAATGATAGTATTTACATTAAAATGATTTAATATAAAATAAAAGTAAATAATAATAATAATAATAAAATTAATAAATAGAATAAATAAAATTTCTGTTTCTAACAATAAAGTGGAATAAAAGCAATAAGTTTTAAGACAGATAGTAATAAATAGAACAAAATAATAATATTAGAAAAAATAAGATACAAATAATAATAATATAATAATAATAATAATAATAATAATATTAATATTAGCATTAACAAATGGCTATTTATGAAATCATTATGAATTTTTCGTTTTAGCTTGGTTGGGCGCGCTTCTGAAAATACTTTCTGTGTCAAGTAATTTGGGTGTTTGTCGAATTGGTGGATTTTTGTTGAATTTCTTCATTTACTGTCATGTTGCTGTCCTGGTGAATCAACCAGTTGGAAACGTACCTGGGTGCGTTCAGTGCCTGCCGTATGATCTTGTTCTGCACTCGCTGAATGATCTGTATATTGTTATTTTGGCGGTGCCCCATAATTGGATTCAATAGGACCACACTAGTTTGAATACATATTTGCAAATAATTAGTTTGTTCTTTATTGACAGTTTGGATCGTTTATTCAGCAACCAGTAATGTTTTTTAAATAGTTCATCAATCTGTTGTTTTTTCTTGTCAATGTCTGAAATGAACCCTCCAGTTCAATTTGGAGTATAGGTGTATTCCGAGATATTTTACGCTATCTTTCACTCGGATTTCCTGTTCATTCAACTTAATTGTAGGGCATATACCAGTACGCAGCGTCAAAGTGATATGCGTAGTTTTTGCGCCATTTGTCATAAGCGTCCATAAAAAAAGCTATTTTGTAGCAATGTCTAGATGCTTTTGTAATAGTTGCAAAGCTATTACGAGATCTTTATTAGAGGAAATGATGCATGTATCGCCAGCAAATGTCGACATGCTTGTTCCGGAGTATAGAGGAAAATCCAGTGTGAATATAAGAAATAGAGTTAGTGAAAGGACGCTTCCCTGGGGCACCCCAGAAAGGATCTTCCTTTTGGTCGATTCCTGGTTGTTTAGGCTGACAAAAAATTCCATATTTTTAAGGTACGATTTTATTATTGAAAATAACAGTTCTGATAAACAACATTTTAGTTTGTATAACAAACCAGTGTGCCATATACCTTATCAAAAGCTTGCGCAATTTCTAAAAATATAGCCGAACAATCTTTTTGCATGGAAAGATTTGTTTATTATGTTTACTAGACGATGGGCCTGTTCTATGGTTGAGTGTTGTTCTCTAAAGCCAAATTGGTGATTTGGAATTAGGTTTTGATTCAACAATTCTGACTTAATGCGTTGGAGTAATAATTTTCAATAAAAAAATACAATAATGAAAATGAAGTAGAATTTAAAAAAATCATGTTCTGCCGAGCCTAAATATGCCGGGTTTGCGCCTTAATATATGAATGTATTATAAAAATAATAATTTTAGAAGTTGGTGTATTAATGTCAATTTGCAAGAATTATGTAGAGGCAGTGACTGATTGTCGAAGGACAGTAATCTTACCTCAGGTAATTAAATACAAGTTGCTTAGATATTCATTTTGAATAAGGTAGTCTTTTTTGCAATAATTTATATAATAATGTGCTTCTTGAAGCTTTATAGAAGTGGGTGGATTAGATTAAATCTCTTTACGGAAATGATGAAAGAGTTCTCCTTTCACACAGTCATTACTACAAAAACATCATGATGTAGGATCAGGCGATAATTCTGATAGAGGGTAAAGAAAACAATCTGACACAAAACCATAACGAAGAAAATTCACAGCAAAGGACAAATTTCTTGCTTTGAATCTGTACTAAAAGTCTGCAAAAGCATGATGTGCATAAAACTTTATTCTGTTTATTGAAAATACCTAGTTTTAGTATTTTTTTTATGGAAGTTTTTAGTGTTAATGTTTTCATCATGATCATAAAATGGGTGAATGTAATGTTTAAAAAACACTCATACACAGAAACTATTCAAAGATTTCATTAAATGCTTAATGATTGATTAGATAGCAAAATAACTACTAGATGCAGAGATAATAAAGAAGAATGTCTCGTAAATGAATTTCAATCCAATAAATTAAGTTTTCTCTCAATTTTGATATCAATATATCCTTTTAAATTTTTGCATTACTTGTCTTTCCTTCTAAATTTGTCATTCCATTATCTATGCTTCTGCACTTTTCTTTTCTTAGTTTTCAAGTTTTTATTTTATTATTAAAAATTAATATTAATAAGTTATTTCTCTTTAATTTGTAGTACTTTAAAAATATTTCTTTAATATACTTTAATTAATAGTAGTCCGTCATTTCTGTTTAGTTTATAATTCTTCAAAAATATGTCTGTGACATGTCTGTGATATATTTGAAAATACATTTTGTATTTCGTATGTTTTGTTCTTACTTCCGATATTAAAATTTAATCAGGTTTTTATATGTATTGACTTGATTGAACAAATGTAGAAGTAATACCAGAAAGTTAATTTACAAAATGTACATGTGCTGCCATCTATTTCAATCAAGATAACGTTAAATTGCCAGACATAGCTATCTATTTATATTTATACTTATTTATCTATGGGACTAAATTTTTGTTTGTGTGCTTGTGATTACTGATTAGCCTGTGATTAGTGTCGAATGCCTTTTCACTTAGAACAAAATCCTCGTTCAGAAGGAATACTTAGGGGTCCATTTGTAGTCGCAGATTTGGCGCTAGTGAGCCGATGAAAAAGTATTTTCAAATGTTTTATGTTGGTTACTAAGAAACGTCAGTGTTATTTTTGTATAAGTTTACAAAATGGCGATTCTTCTTCGTTTGTGTTTGTATATTTGTTAATAAAGATTTCATCAGGAATTGCTCTCAAATGCATAGCCCTTTGACAATATGAATAGAACAGCTTCAAACTCATATGGAGGACATAATTACTACATTACTACGTAGTGCATTGACATATTAGTCTAATCATAATACACTTTAAGGAAAGAGATCAGTTCTAGGAAATTGTGTAAGAAATCAAATATACGCTTCTACAAGAAAGACATAATACACAAATAGAAAGCTGTTCCAGCTGTTTAAAATTGGATTACCACTTCACGCAGATCTGAATATACTTGGAAAAAAATGAATTGCTTAAGAATGTCAAATTTTGCACGGGATGATTATTAGTTAATTATAGAGTTAAGAATGACAGACGATGTAATGAACTAACACTATAATGCATTATTCACTAAATTTCATTGAATATTTATATTAATAAGTAGAAAAAAGTGCAGAAGTTATTCCAGTAGATTAGATGTGATATCTATTATATTCGCTCCGAGCGTGACTGCAGCGCCCATGCAGCGCCGTAATAAATATGAACTAATTGGGGGTATCAGTGTGTGGTTTTCATGGGTTTTACATGTTTGTTAAAGAAAAAAGATATTAAATAATTGTTATAAATAATAATAAACAAGATACAGTAATAATGTGAACGCTGAATGTTTATTGAAATTATTAAATTTACTTCAACGTACTTAAAACATAGTTAAGTATAATGATTAATTAAATAAAGAAATGCAGTAAATAATTTTAAGGTTAAGTGCCTCAAAGCTTATGTCATAATCTCGGAATAGTTCTTAATAAAAACAATATAATAATGATAAATAGTATTTTATCAATAGAATAAGTAAATAATAAACTAATTTACTCATTTTTTTGGTCAAACTAAAGGCTTAGACACTATTATAAAGACATAATTTAGACATTATTATAAAGACAAGACCAAGTTGACAAGTAGGTAGGACTCAATACCTCGACCGATTCATTGCAAATGCGATCATAGGGCTTGGGAACCCACGGTGATCCATCAACACTACAAATATATATTTCGCATTATTTCAGCATTGTATTAATTAAACTGTTTGCAAAATAAACATTTTTTCGCTATGTGATAACTTTTATTTTTCTTTTAATCATAAAATTACAATTATTATATAATAAAATGTAATTAATATATAGATAATAGTTATACATAATCAATATACAATATATAAATATGTATTTTTCATTATTTTAGGCTTGTATTAATTACATTGTTTTACAAAACATTTTTTTAGTAAGCATTAAATTTTGATAATACAACAATTTATTGACTTATAATTTTTTTTTTTCTAAACATAACAATTTTACAACTATTCATAATACTCCAAATTGTATTTTTATAACAATAAGGTTATGATACTTACTTTATTCTTCTAACCGCTGCGATCCACTTTTCCCGTTGATTTTCTTTCCACTTAGCTGTAGAAAATGTATAGAATTTGCAGTCACTTTTTCTGCTGGTATTTCTACAACCCACTACACAACAGACATGGTGGTTCATTTTTAATTATCTTATTTAAATTTGAAATAAATAAATATTTTATGTGTTTTTGTTTAAAATTTTGTTTATAATAGCCCCTTTTAGTGCTCCAAGTTAGCCACTACGAACGCTTCGGTCGATTTGGCTTCCCCTTCCATGCCTTCGCACCATAGACCTTATACAATACATGGACTGCTAGTTGAGCGCATAAAAAGTGTCAAAAGATGTTCTATGGTATGAGGGCATACGAGGGTAATTTCGCGGCCGAGATATGTCAAATACGAACACGAGCTTTACCGAGATTAGTCGAATGCTCTCGATCGCTTAAATGTTACAGTTACTTGGGTTCACGTGATGTTTGATCGCTCGGGTTTTTAAACTAAAAGAAGATAAATATATACCTGTTGTAAAATTGTTAAAAGTAAAATGTCTTCTAAAATGTGTTAGGTAAGGTGCCTGATTGCCGTAAAACCTGTTTTGTGCTGTTCTGTATGCTTCGCAAG